TCGCGCATTTCATAGAAGCGGCGAGCAGCGTTGAGGAGCATACCGAGGGTGTGTTCAGCGACTGTTTCATCGTGCAAGCCGGAACCGGTTGTGATAGCGATGCGGGAAGCGTCAAAGCCCGCACCGAGGACATCATTTGGACCGGCTGCTAACGACTGGATCCAGCGGAGGTTCTTCATGCGGGAAGCTGCGTCACGGAGGTTCGAGGCTTTGTTGTTCCATGTTACTAGGAAGTCGGCGTCGATTAGGGATTCGGGAATTGGTTGTGTGACATCGTAGGGATGCAATTCGACAGAGAAGCCTTCCAGGGACTTAGTGTCGATGTGGAGAGAGGTAGGGTAGAGGAGTTTCATTTTGGGGGTTTGGAGATGCTTTGCTATAGTATTGAGGCGTTGGTTGGGCGACATCAAGAGGGGATGGTCAAGCTTCTTATGCCGAGGGGAGTGACAAATCTGTTGCAACGCGGGGGTCCCGCGGTCTCGGCGGAGCTCCGCCGAGACCGGGGTAACTACTCCCGGAGGAAGGTACAGATGCCGACGACCAATGTCATGTGACTTGGTAAGACCGGTCAGGTGAACTTTGGACCGAGAAAATAGATTAGATGGATGAAAATTAGTAACGGTGTAATTCTGTCTAGCTCTGAGAAGGGTATTATATGATAAATTCATTGTAGAATTGAGTACAAGTGTAAAATGTGTTGGAAGTGTACGTGTAGTTTATCAAGAAGTGAAGGACCAAGCACACTATTAAAGGGAAATGGACATTGTACGCTAGCCGTATATAATAAGCACGTGATATCGCAAGGCATTCTCATAGAAAGTAAATTTGTGTATTCTCTACACTAGACCTACGAGATATGTACTCTTCTTTAGGTACTAAATATACCCAAGCACACCATCTCACATGGCAAATAAAGACAATTAGCACAATGGGTATCAGGCGATTCAGCCACAGCCTGAAAAGGCAAACAAGCTACACAGCGAAGAATATACACCGAACAAGAATATATACAGGGGAATCATAATCCACAACACTAGTTTTCAACCTACGAAACACCATCTTTCTCAATAGGAATCTCGGAACCACTCTCGATGGTACCGGTGCCCGTCAAAAAGAAGTCAAGCTCACTAGGCCCGCCCTGCGAGTTCTCATTTTCAGCGAGCTGTTCCAGCAAGCTCAGGAAAGGGTCCTTTTCAGATGTGCCCTCGCTGCCGGTTGTGGTGTGGGTGCCGCTAGTTTGGGACTGGGCACCTGGGGTCGGGGCCGACTGCGCCATTCCGTTTATGTTTGCGTGGACAGTGTCGAAGGGGAAGGTGGCGTATTGTGGGTTTGGGGGCGGTGTTGGTGCTATGTTCAGGCTGCCGTCGGTGAGAAAGGCTGGTGGGGAAAGGCCGAAGGCTGAAGGGGAGAAGCCTGGGATGGAGAGGTGGGTGTTTTCTGATATGCTGGGACCGGATAGGTCTGTCCCAGTTGGAAGGGAGAAGATGGAGGGTAGGGATGATGATTGCTGGTGTTGATGGCTTGGCATCGCGTGGAATTGGAGGGTGGGCGAGAGGGAGGCCGGGTTGGAGGATTTTTGGGTCTGAGAATGGGAATGGAGACGGTCGGTATCTGAGCCCTGGGTGGATGTTAATGGCGTCGAGGGCCCAGGCCGTGTAGCTGAGAAGTAAGACGAGGGATTTTGGTACGAGGGTGCGGCGAGGGGCCGTTGGTAGTAGTGGTCTTGACGGTCGATGAAGTTTGCATTACTGTCCTCATAGTTAGTGATCATATAATGTGCTTACGAAAAAAATGAAAATCAGCAGGTGACTTACCTTAGAGCCAGATCATCCCCCGCATCTATGAGCCGAACATGTGACCCATCCAATGTCAGACCGGGATATCGGTCGAGGAAGTCTTCGAGGTGGAAGACTGGCGAGAAACGCATTGGGCTACTGGCAAGATTGCGGACCAACTCGGAGTGACACGTATAGATCGTCTGGAGCAGCTCTCGTTGATGCTGCGCGCCAGTCCAAATATTGCGCAACCAAGCAAGCTGGTGCATCTCCCGAGTCAGGAATTCAGCACTGGAAGAGAAAACTTCACCTTCGTGGCCCTTGTAGTGCACACCGTGAACGTGCACAGTCCCCGCTGTGCACACACAGTAGCCGACGAAAGCAGGCCACTCAATCAGCGGAGAATTACGACCCAGTTCAACTAGCTCTGCAATGGCATTGGAGTGCGAGAAGCACAAGTTCGTGGCCTCAATTTGCCAGGACTGGTGCTGCCCCGTACCTCGGAGCTCCACCAGGTCAATGGGTAGGAACGGGCGGTAAATCAAACAGTGCACCAGATGGTAGATCAACTTGCTTAGCAAAAGCGTTGTGCTCTCGGGGTGGCCGAACAATGCATCGATAGATGCAAAGACGTCCTGCGTACCGGCCGCCCAAATATCTAATTCTTGTCGGATCTTAGATAGATTAGAAAGCGCATGCCATGGGAAATGGGAGTCGCCTTTGACTCCACCAGCCGCCAGATACTTATTAGTGACACCAAGAATGCGCGTGATATCAATCAGTAAAGAGGCAGCACTTGGTGATTTGCGCCTGGCGTCGGCGGAATATTGAATGTTCGGGCCGACGTGGAAGAGCTCTCCCTCCATGTTCAGACCAGCTGCATGTGGTGACCAAGAGGGTAGGCGCAGAACAACCGAATGATCAGTAATCAGACATGGTCGTCGGGATCCACAGTTAATGAATCTATCCATCAGGTAAACAGACCAGAATAGCCGGCGCCTCATTTCTCGCTCGGCAGGCGCGACACTAAGCTTGGAGGGGGCCTCGCGGTACAAATCCAGAGCGACGATCATGGCCACGCAATTTGCTGATCATCGTTAGTGGAATTCATTCAAGAAGGATCAAGTCCAAGCGTACAGAATGTCATGTAAGCTTTCTTTCCCAAACCATAGGCGTAGAAAGCTTGCGAAAGTAACAATAGAGTCTGCAATCCTTCTACGGTAGGATTGTCGACTTCAATCATGCGTCGTGCCTGTAGCGCCGCATCGAGCCCGGTACGTAGTGCCTGTTCCACTTGACCAGGCGAGGTTGTGTATCTGTGATTCGTCAGTCAAACAGGTAAAGCATGTGACAAGACTTGGAAGTTTGGCGGTTTTACCTCACTGTCATTGCCGAAATAGCCATGGCCAAACACGGAGGCAATTGGTTCAGTTGATGGCGCTGTCGTGTGGTCGCCTCGTCTAGTATATAAAATGGCTTACCGTGTAACCGCTCAAAGTAAATATCGAGGATCGCATCTGATAAAGGTCCATTTTTCGGCGAAGGCTGTTGGAGAAGACTTGTTGCGTGGCCGGTCGGCCTAGGAAAGGGATCCACATGGTGTGAGAGAGAAGATGACAGAGCAGATCCATCACTCGAAGAGTAAAGACTAAACGAAGCATCGATGGTGTTGCGACGGGTGGGAAAGCTCGGGGGATCGTCTGGGGTATCAGGGGAAGTGGGCGAAATGGGGTTCTTTTCGTCGTGGAGTCGTTTCTCCAACCCATCGACCCGCTTGAGAAGAGCTTCCAGTACATCGGTCTTGGGGCCCCGTTTTTTAGGGACGGCATCTTCAAACATAAGATCAACGGGGGAATCATGTGATGTGAAGGGGATATAGTTGACTTACCATAAAGACATGGGCACTGGAAGACCTTACATGCCTCGCAACTCGGTCGCAAGCGATTACATTTGATCTATAACGAGTTAGAGACAGCCAATCGCAAGCAGAAAAACCGGACAGACCTTGCGCTTGCGACAAGATTTGCAGTTCATAGTTTCGCGCGGCTCGACCGTCGCACGGCGGGGCGTGAGACGGTCGATGCTAACCTGAGGACGAGACATGGCACATCTACATGGAAGAGAGGGATAAGAAGAAGAAAGAAAATGGCCTGGGCCAGGATGGACAAAAAATCCAGGGCATTGCCGTGGCGTTTAGGGAAAAAACCCTATACCACAACCAGGTTGCGGAGAGAAGAATGCGGAGAAGTGATGTCCCGCCGGAATTCCCTAGTTTGGGGCTGACATCGGGAGATTTGATTTCGAGTTATGTGCATTAATTATACCATTTAGGCTATTAACCGTATATATATATCATCGTATTCTTATTCTTATCTGAGTTTACTCTAGTTCTAACTTCCTATTTCACTTCTAGAACTCAAACCCCTTTAATCTGAATATCGCATGGCGGGAGTAATTTCCTTTTACGGAATACCCTTAGGGTTCCGACGCCAGTGTCCGAACTGTGATCGAGGTACCCCATAATTGCAGTAATGGCACATTGCACTGTAATTGCAGTAGCTTGATGTATCTAGCCAATGAATAGCTACCTTCTAGCCATCACCCCATCATGGGGTTCTCTCAGCTACCGCTTAGGCCCCTATTAAGTCTCCTCAATTTATCCGAAGTGTCTCCTGCAGAACCATGTATGTAAACGTATGTGCCTATATTACTTTACTGGTCCATGCTAAACTGCACATGGGATCATCCATTATAGCTGCTGTTTTTGATACGGAACATCCACCCTGGTCTTCTTTTTCAAACTTTCTAAATGGTTTGTGCTTTTGTTAAGTTCCCTCATCACCTCGCTCGATTCGATGCCAAGTCTACTAAGACCGTTGGTGTACTTGGCACATTAATATGAACTTTGAGCTTACTCCAGGGAAAAAGCAAAATAACCTCACCCAGGCAAAATTTGCCTCTGCACAACCTCCACCATATCCCTCGCCCTCGCCCCACCTGTCTTTAACCCCTAACAGATGAGTAATCGGCCAACCTTCAACCCTCGATCCGCGTGATGTCAATCTCCATCCCAACATTCTTCAAAAGGGCAATGTACTTCCGTGGCGCATTGGGTGATTTTCCAAGACTTCGGCAATACCGAGGCGTTGCCATGCCTGCTAGCTCCGGTCGGCGCCGTTTTCACCCCCTGATGGAGCTCCTCCAGGCCTGGCCTCTGGTTCTGACTCAGGTTTTGGTTATGGGTGGATCCCCATCATCCCCAGTTCCACTTCCACCTCCCCCGTGTTTGACATTTGATCCCGAACTCGAACCAGTCTCATCTTGAAACCCCATTACGCCTTCCTCTCCAAGCTGGGCTAAATCGCCGAGCTGTTGTCGTACGAACAGCTTTAAGACCTTACCGGGCAGTGTTTGGCGTGTAGGTATTGTTGGTTCTTCTGTAGGACTTGTTGTGGGGAATGCGCCCGGGACACTGATTGGTTTGGTGTATTCCAAAGCAGAGTCATCCTTTGCTTTGCTTTGCTTTGCTTTGCGGGTTTTGGCGCGCGATATGGCCACGGAGGACTCCCATGGAAGGACGTGGCTGTGAGGTGATGATTTCATCGGCTACTTTAGCTTCCTTTGCTATCGCGAATTAGAGGAATGTTTCATTGTCCAGTGCCCGGGGGATGTGGCTGTATTGGAGGGTCGGGTGATTACCCGAGGGGAGGGAAGTGATGGCGCCTAGTGGGTGTTGTTTGATGAAGGTGTAGAGGGTTGGGAGGTCTCGGAGTGCATGATCGGGACGCAGATGCATTTTTGTTTCTGTCAATTTTTTTTAAAAAAAATATGAATAGATATAGAGAGGTGAAGAAAAACAAGGCCTGGGGGAAATACATCTCGGGAAAGGTATCTAGCCCTGAAGGTATATATATCGCCCATTAGCAGCTATTGACGTGGATTCTATGAACTTATGATTTATAACATCAAAATTCCGTGGCAGAGCCAAGAGCAGCAACTATTACCAGCAACTTATATCCACAGGGACATTAAAACACTATTCCTTAGACTTGAACTAGTCACAACACTAAACATCCATGGATCTCACATGACACAGATAGCCCTACAAAAACATACTTCCAACACTGAGCAAAATCCCGATCCAACATCAACATCTATTGCACCAACAACAGACAGTAAATAAACCACAATTTACGTATGTATGCAGTGTACTATATAACTAGAACAAAGGCCTCCCCGACGCCATGCGAACAAAGTCAAACGGAACATTCTGCCCAACAAGCAACCTGAGCGTCTCAACAGTAGTCCAGGCACTAACATCCTCAACCCCATACGCCGTCCACCCTGCACTAGTAGCAACAGCCAAAGGATCCCCCTTCCTTGGCCCACTCGTAAGATCAAGATAAACCTTTCCACGAGTCGAACGCGGCGAGGAACGACCATTAATCCCATAATGTCTCAACAGAGGCTGCACGAGGAGCGATTTCTCCGGCGGCAGCGCAGAGACAATAACAAAGGGCTGCTCAACCCGCTGGACAGATTGAATGGATGTGAACGGCTCGAGGCCCGCAGCGAGCGGGCCACTCGCTTTAAACCCGACTGTGTAGATTGTCCCAATGGCCAGACTGCGTAGTGCGAAAATCGCCGCGGAAGCGTCTGCTTCCGAGCCGGCGAGGATGATCGCTGCGCGGCTGCTGTATGCGGATGGGACGTACTCGCGCGTCAGCGTTGCGCGGATGCCCTTCCAGGCGGCATTTTCGCCGATGAATCGGGAGGTTCCGGGTACGGCTTCGCCTGGTGTCATGGCGATTGTGTCGACTAACCCGATTGCGCGGGCTGCGTCGCTGACTGCGGGGATGAAACCAGTTGTGCTTGGGACTGGTGGGTTGACATAGGCGCCGCCAAAGTGTGGTTGTAGAAGAACGGATTCCATGGAGCCTTTGGGGCCGCGGTCGACTGAGGTGAAATTATGCGGGAGACCGAGTTCGTTTAGGCATTTCTCCATGAACATTGAGTGTGGGGTTGAGCGAAATGAGCCGATGGCGTAGAGGTCGCGTCTGGGGAGTTGGCCCATTATGTGTAGGGCTTCGTTGATCTCCGCTGCGGTTAGTTGACCTGGAGCTGCGATCATCGGAAGGAGAGGGTGGGTGATTGGAGAGAAGACGGTGTTGAGGGCTCGCGATAGCTGGCCCATTTGGCCCATGTTGACTGCTGACAGGAGTGGGCCCGGGCCGCGGTTTTTAATGGTAGATCGGAAGTATTCTAACTCGTAGTTCTCTTGGATTGTGTTGACCATGGCGATCATCTTCACGATGTCGGCGTATTTGGCGCTTTCCGTGAATATGCGCTGCGCCTCTTCGGACGTCCACTTCCAGGTTCCAGAGAAGTCATGGAATGCAGATAAAATCATACTATGGCCCTTTTTCCCAAACAGCTGACGCCGAATCTTCTCTGGCAGCCATAGTTCCACATCGATATACTCGACTCCCCACTGTATCGCGCGCCGCAGGTACTTATAAAAGAGCGCAGGGTCATCTAGCGGGAACTTGCCGTTCTCCCTCGTACAACGAACAGTAAAGATAATCGGCAACTCAGTATGCTGCCGCAGCAACATCAACTGTTGACCAACATACTTCAAACTCGGAACAGGTGGAATGATTGAACCCTCCGGTGCAGGCTCAACCAGCAAATCCACACGGATCTCAACAGCATCAGATCCCACAGACAGGATATCCAAATTTGGCAACGCAGCACGCACATCGGGGAAAGTAGTCGAGATGAAATTTGTCCTGGTCTTCGTGCGCAAATCATCATGAGGCCTCGTCTGACCAAGAATCAAAGACAAAAACCGTGACAAATCTCGGCGCAGGAACGGACTCCGCGAATATAAGAACTCATAGTCACATCTCTCGGTGAGCGAGTCTTCCGGCGCAGACCCGTCTTCCACACAGTACGTGTTTACTAGAACCAGAGATGATCGCTCACATCCCTGCAAGCTCCGCTCTAAATCACGCGCTAGGATTCCCGCTACCACTGCATCGTTGGCCCGCGCAAGGATCCCAAGCGACGCCTCTGTTGTCCATGGCTTGCCTAGAACTTCCGCTACCAGTTGTACGATATGATCTTGGTTCTGGCCGTAGATGATCACGACAGTCCCCGCGGCAGTATTGGCGGCCGGTGTGGCGATGTCCGTGGCAGTCTGATCTTTCGGGACGGCAGCTGGCGGAGCGGAATGGGGGAATGTTGTAGCATTGGAAGGGACGGCGATATTTGAGTTTGCGCTGGGCGGATCCTGGGCCTTGAGGGCGGCAGAGACGGGGGAATCATCGAGCAGCGGCTTTGCCATGTGCTGCGGAAAGGCTGTCGGAATCATAGCATAGCAGTCCCAAGTGTTTTCATACTTGGTGTTGGCTCGGATTGTATATGCAGGTCGAAGTATGGGTCGAGACGGGTAAAAATGGTGAGTCGGGGAGGGGGGGAATGAGGGAGCGCAAGGACCACGAAGGCTTTTTTCTAATTCGCCTCTCGATCTCACAGCCAGGACCCGGGTAGTGTAACAGTAAGTGGTATCAAAGCAATTAGGAAAAGGAAGCGGGCCGAACAAGGCTAGCTCCAGGGTATGGGGTAATTGAGGAATAAATGGACGCCAAGTAAATCCTAGACGGGTAGAGTTCAATAACCCAGAGGATAATAGAAAGCATTTGAGACGACATTGGATCGATGGAAGAACTTCTCGCGTAGGTTCCACCCAATGCGCGCGAGGCTGGAATCCCACGCAGACCACGGACGCGGGGAAAAGTGGCAGCGGAGTTGGGTTTATCCGCCAATCAGTGCTCAGTATTGGGTTTATCCGCCAACCAGATGTATCGCATATAATTTATACTATAAATGTGATTAGAGCTCTATTCAGCAGAATAGGGAGATCATGTTAGGGATATGCTTATGAATCCTGCCACTTGCTCTATTCAAGGGTCCATTCAGCCTATATCAAACCATCAAGCTAGTCGGAGCTGTAGCTTTATGATTACCTGACAGGGGCTCTACATCTGGGCAGCATGATCCGATACGAGGGAAAACCACCAATCTAAGCCATAGTCTCAGCCTCGGCCAGAATGATCGGCCACTGGAACGGGTGGTATATAGCCTGTTGTATCCCGAGAAAGGCAGGTAACGAATCAGACACCAGGATTGGTGGAAGAGTGAGTACACGGATACCTAGACCAGGGGCAAACGCCGAGAATGATATGCTCCCATATTCGCAATCTACACAATTAAATAACCATCTATGTATTGTTCTTTCTGTCCTCGATGCGCGGAAAGCAACCATAATTAAGTGATAGCGTTAAATTGGATCTGAAAAGAGAAACACACTCGAAGGATAGTCGTGAGCCATGTAGTATAGACATGCATGATCATTTGACGCCGGAAGGGCGAGAGATCTGAAAAAAAGAAAAGCAGAATCGATACTAGATCCGCCCAGCATTGTATTTCAAGCAACCAATTAAGACATAAAGAGAGAAAAATACCAGCCAAATCAAGAGGGGGGTATTGGGTAGTAACAGGCAGTGAGGGAAGGAAAGGGAGAAACGCAGGCCGAGAGATAAGAGGAAAAAAGGGTAGAAACAAGTAGAGAGGTATTGGTCCAGAGAACAAACAGCTATGTATGTATCAATATCAGGCACACAAATAATCACCACGTCGCTTTGCAAACCAAGATGGGCGCTTTTAGGGGGGTTTGTTCACGGTTCCGTGCATCAAGCCGGAGTCAACACTATGTACGAGGACGGCAACGCAACCAAAGATCGGTGCGTAGACTGTCTAACATCTTTCGAGACGTCATGTGTCTACCACGACAGAGCATGGTAGGTCAGGGTAGGGAAATAAGTTCAAGCAGGAGAGAGGGCAAAGGTGTGTAACCACACATGCAGCGTTCCACTTGCGGGATATTAGCGGGAAGCGAGAAGTTGAGCCGAGCCAGCGGCCTGTCATTCTCAGGTTGGATCGACACACATGCCCAAACGACGACACGCAGCAGGCAATAGCAATTTCATTTGCTCATCTTCAGAAAACGCATGGAATGGGCAGCGCCATCGATTGGGAAAATCGAGAACGGAGCCGGAGTCGGAAGGAGTTAAAGGTTTCAGGTTCAAGAAAAGAAACACAAGCAAGTGTTTCGAGAGGGTGGACATGACAAACATGACAAATGGCACGCGCACACAGGACCCACCCGCACAAGGGCAGGACAGATAACGACGGAATGACGGGCCACTCGCGTGTGGAATCGCACCAATTAACTCGGCGGAGAGATGGCGAGCCCGTTCATCATTTTGGGAAGCGGCTTTCTACGGGCAGTATTTGCCGTCTTGGAAACGCGTGGTGTACCGTGGATCATGCGGGGTTCTGTCATCAGGGTCGTATCTAGGTTTGCCGGTGCTACGGGGAGGTTGTCAGTGAGCGGATTAGATTGGGTGTTGGAGCCTTCGGCATACCTCTTGTGGGAACTCTGCCGTAGTCTGTTGACATATTCTGCTGGCTGCGGCTGGTTGGGGTGAAGAAGGTAGCGTTGGCTGTACGCCACAGATGGTTCGAGGTGTCTGAGAGGAAGTCTGTTGTCGACCGGCTGGAGAAAATGGATGTGCGGCCACGGTTGCGCTTTGAAAGGACGATCTCGTCGAACAGGGTCATGCGTGGGTCCTTGGACTTCGGGTTTGTTCGCTCACGGTCACTGATGAACTCGTTGAAACCTAGTATTGGGTCAGTATTCCTTCCGCGGTACGATATGAGAGTTCGCCGGCTTACCTTGTGTTTGTTGGAGAATTGTGACATACTCGGCGTGCTCGCTTGGAAGGCTCTTCATGAATGCATCCATGTTGAAATCGTAATACATGCCGGATTTCTTCTTATCGCCACTGGCTGGCACAAGGAACTTCTTGTACGTGTAGAATAAGCTCGCAAAACATCTGACAAACGCCGCGCGAATTTGATCCGGATGGAAGGCTGCATCACACGGAAGACAGACCATGGAGGCGCAGCGGTTGTGGACTGTCAGTCTGCATGCAGAGCATTTGTACATGTTTTCCTCTGCCATTTCATCACAGATGGCACAGGTCAACTTGTCATCCCAAACTTGGACTTGGAAATAGTGACCTTCGGCCCAGCAAGTACCTTCGTTATTGCCGGCAGGCTGGTTCGAGGATTGAGGCATGATTGTGGACGCAGCGATGGTAGACTGCGCATACACAGATGGCGCATATGTGGATCCCGCACCGTAATCGGTGTTGAGAGTTGTCACTGAGAGATTCGAAGCATGACCAAGGAACGGAGCACTTGGGCGTCGGCTCATTCCAAACGAGGAGCTTCGGCGTGAAGCGGCATCGAAATGACCGGAACGCTTCTCGCGCAATGAAGCCTGCAACGCCATACCGGAATCATTACGTGACGAGGGGGCAGGCGGAGGAGGGAAGAAGCCAGAGGTAGGCGAACTCTCTCTCGGGGATGGCGGAGAGGCACCAGCTCTCATGGTGGAGCTGGTCCCTGGGCGCTCAGATCCGCGAGATGAGTACCCACGAGAGGGACCGGCCTCATTTCGGGCGTGCAGGAAGACGTTGAAGATCGGAGGTGTATAGGAGCCTGGCATCACGGCTGTTGCACCGAATGCACTGGAGTTGAGACCGACATATTTCGCCAGATTAGTTGCCGGGGCTTTGGATGTGAAAGTGGCCTTGCTCTCTGACATGAAAGAGTCCCATGGGTACGTCTCGATTGCATATGCAGGAGGCCCGGTGGGGACGTGGAATCGATTGTGCTGAGGGGCAGCTAATTGCAACAAAGAGAGGAGCTTCCTACGCTGATGACGTGGAAGAGAGGTCGGCTGAATGGTACTTTCGATCATATTGTTGTCCAAATCAACCAAGACAAAGTCATCCGTGGGCAGCTCCACCTTCTCGTATCGACGTTCGATACCCACGATGTATGGGCAAGGGGCCTCAAGAGCCTGAATTAAGCGCGCGGGGAGGACAGGAATGAGAACGCCTGTCCACTCCAGAGGGAACAAAAGATCGACCAACGATCTGGTCGCGAGATAGAGCATGGAGGTGTGGGAAGACAAGAAAATGATACGGGATTCAGTAAGAGCGTACTGTGTTTGATTAGCATTGTCTTTTATCAATTGAACTGGCAATCCAAGCCTACCTCGAAGAGAATGATGATATTGGGGACCGACAAAGTTCGGAACAAGGCATAGAGGTCAGTCTAGAAATCAGTTAGCAAAAAAGTTTCAGAAGAGAATTCAATCAAGATTGCGGTGCGACATACATTCCTAGAACCAGGGATCTCATTGGGCGCCTCTTTGCGTGCAAACAACCGCAGCTCACGAATTGCAAGCTCGACCTGAGTCTTCGAAGATATCGGGCAGAACGCTTCTGTACAGAGATTCATGACATATCGCTCCAGCGGCTGCCATACACCCATGCGCGGCGAGGGCGGGGGCACGTGCTGTAGACTGCCCTCCGTCATGGGCACCACGACAGCCTTGAGCCATTCCTTCCAGAAGCTTGTCATCGTGCTCTCTCGGCCCAAGATACCATATGCACGGGGAATCCAGAACCCAGTATCACCATCGGTCAGACCCTCGATCTTGGAGGCTGCGCCATGCCGGACCGGACGAAGGAGATCAGTCATTAACCCAATCTTCTCCTCCACGGCGCTAATCTCATCTTCGAGCCGTTCGCGGGATTCAGATCCTGACGGCACAGTCGGCAGCTGGGCTAGGAGCCGGGACAATTTGGCCCGCTCCGATGCCAATCGTTCGCCCAAGCTTGCAGCCAGCTCACGCTCTTCGTCGGTCATGTTGTCCTTTCGCCATTCCTCACAGCGCTTCTCGAGCTCCTCCGCGGCATTTGGGTTGAGGGGTATCCAGATAATCACACAGATGGCGTGCAACCTGGAGCCGTTGTCCGTTGTCATGGCGAATCCGTGCCAGGTAGAGCGCGGTCGCTGATCGGAGGAGACGATGTTGACATCATTCGGAAAGGCGAACATAGGAACGTAGTCGGGGAAATTGCCGCGCTGCTTCATCTCGTCCGGCATGCCGCGTGTGGGGTATCGGTCGAGGAGCACGGGCTCGAATCGTCGTTTCAACGGATGCATTGTGGGGGAAATTTCGAGAGGTTGCGGAACAGGGATTACGGAATTGTAGTTGCTAAGTCGCCGAGAAGTGCGCACCGAAGCTGAGGAGAATCCATTGTTAGCTGATGCATCTACAAAAAAGGTCCTGGCCACGATCCCGTTCCTGAATGAATAGGGAATAGAATTGGAAGAGAGGTCTCACCTTGACGAGCAATCGACGGCTGTCGCTTCATACTATTCATATCCCGAAAGGCCATGTGGCGGCGCACGCTCCCAATACCCGACCTCAGCAAGTTACCGCTGGGCGCGGGCGAATCGTCGGAGACGATCTTCTGCGTGCGGACCCTGGATCGCGGGCGGGTATTAGGGGTAATGGCGCCAGCGCTCAAGCTCAAGTCGGTTAGAAAGGACTCGCGCTCGTTGGCAAACTTGAAGAGCGCGGAGTCGAAATCGAAGTCCTCGGAGAACAGAGCTGAGGCACGTAGGGGCGACGAGGCACCCTTGACGGTCATGCTGCTCCGGTTACTGTTAGTGCCAGCACCGTTTGTACCCTCTGAGCTCTTGGAGAGCGTCGATAGTCGCTGGGTAGAGCCCCTGTGACTGGCACCAACGAATAGTGTTGAGTTTGGCCGGGAGACCCCATCCGGGTTGTGTTCCTCCTCCGCATCGGCGTCCTCCTGAATGGTATCTGCGAGTGCAGGACCTGGAGATGCGGCGCCATTGGCACGGTAATCTTCTCCCAACCTCTGGAAAGTGTCCAGGATCTCTGTACCATCCACGCCGGCTATCCAGAAGTAGTCGGCGAGAGGAGCGCCCTCGGAGTTGCTTGGCGATGGCATTGTGGGGAGAGTCACGGCGGACTGTAGGTCAATACCTTGATTGTCACCACATGGATATATCCAGGAAAGGGAATGGGGGAATTGAGCGCATGTGGGAGGGGGGAAGCTGATAAAAATGGGGGAGAACGGGAGGGAGGGGCAGTTCAAACGAAGATCAATTTTGGGGGGTTTGAAGGTCCGACGTTGTATTGAAAAAGGAGTTAGATTGTTTTCATTTGTGTATTCTAGGGTATTATTTCTACACCTTTCCTGTATCCTTTTTTTTTTTTTGTTTTACATTATTTTAGTTTATTTTTCTCTAACACGGGTGGTTGCGTGGTTAAGGACATTTTGAATGTGCGTCTCTTTCCATATAAAAAGTCGTTCAACACAGACAGAGCCTGGGCCATTCACAGCCATGCACAAGAATTTTTGACCTGCAGGCACGGTGTGGCTGGACTCTAAAGGGGAGTCCAGACTTCCGGGGTATATCCATAATGTCTATATCAACGGCCTCAATGTACTTATGTATTCCAGTGGCAATAGCAATATCTCCAGGGGTTTGCCTGTGATCCATGGTTGGAACTGCGGAAAATTCAAGCGGGTCCTTTAAACGAGGTTCGTCTATATAACTCCGTTACTATACACACTATATAGTTACAGGGGTTTTAGTTATTGTCTGTACACGGTCTTTCCTAAGGGTCTTAGGGGTCTTAGGGGTCTTTGAGGAGTTTAGCTTGATACGCCACAATGTCATTATTTTATCAGCACTTTCAGGGGGTGAGACTATGAACTACCGAGGTCTTGGGAGTTTATACGGACGGAGTACTTTGCCGTTTAATCTGATAGCTCTTTTTTAGATTGCGGCTCAACGGCTTTTTGTTTCTTTTTATTTTCCCATAACCTTTTTCACTTCCTAAATTTGCTGTGTGCGAAATACACTTGTATGTACTTCATTGAATTTCGAGTCAAGTGGAGTGGCTTGCTGGGGAGACGATCGATACTATAGTTGGACAATGTGGAGTACAGAGGTGAAAGCATCGCCTAAATGTATATTTCCACATTGATTTTATAATAAAAAATTTTTAATCAGGTAGGCAAATTCCATAGTTCGTCCTGTCAAATCCGCTAATATCTTTAATGACTCCCCATCTAGGTATTCATAAACAAATCGAATACTTTGTAGACCTCCAATATACTCCGTACGAACTATACAGATGTACACTAGTGCAAATATCAAACGCCCCGAACGGCTGGTACCCGCGTTACGTGGACACAGGGGCATTTCTCTGCACTGACTGATAGCCCTTTTCGACCGGTCGCATCCCAGGACATTTATAGACTTTTATAATATAGGCAAGGTTATTCGAACCATCTCCCCGATGTACATTAGTACTTGCATACTCCGTACACTACGACAGTATATCAGAAGAGGCGGTGGAGCAAATCAGCTCTATCTTCGCAAAAAGAAAAATCCAATTATAGAAGAACGTACTAAAATAGAAAGACGTCCGTGTGAGACATTATATTGTAGATAATGATCTTTCACTCCATACAGAGTAGATAGGGCATCAACCAGAGTCTAGACTCCTTCTATAACTCCATAACATTGCCTAAGCCCTAAGAGACTTTACATGTATACCCAAAATAAAATTTCGATATATGACATCCCGTAAAATACGTGGCCTTGGGCCGAGGACGAATTCCTGTGGTTTTATTTTCTTTTCTGCATGCCCTATGGGGAAGCAAATGAATACCCGACCAAAACTGTGCCAATGTCCAGCCCCGGAGCTTCCTTGCCGGGAGGCAACTGCCGTGCGACAAAAATTAAGCGTCGGCTGCATGGCAAGGCGGTTTCCGCCCCGTGCGAGTGGCGCCAGGCCAATACATCGGGCCTCATTCCAGAGCCTCAGGCAGTACTCGTGAGCCTACGGTGTGGATATACTCTAAGCCCAACAGATTACACTGGACACCCCAATTTAGGACACTGCTACCAATGCCAATGGTAATATTGTGTAAGTGGATTATTGGAAATGTGTACAAACCGCCCTTGCGGCCCCTCCATGCAACTCGGCGGCTGGATGCACCGATACAACTCGGCGTCCATATCGTGATACTGTAGCGGAAACTCTTGGTTGCACACCGCGTTTCAAGTGCGTTTCCGGCTCATTAGGTTTCCCGTCGTTAGGAACCCTTTGTCCCCCATGGCCCCACGCCATTCAATCGACAACTGACCCAGTGTGGCACGACCGTCCCGTCGCAGATCCTTCTGGAGAGTTTCAAGTCCCTCATTCTGGCCCTCTTCTTGTTCCACCAAAAATGCTACCTGTAGGACATCTCGTGGATTGAGTGTGGGTAGTGCTGCGAGTGACATGTCCGGATTTATTGTGTCCCAATTTAGCGATTTTGATTGGAACGGTGGCTTGGGATTTAGTTTTGTTTGCTGTCCATCCCCCAACGTTAGCCAAATTGTTGAGATTCCCGTCCAGCCCGTTTTACAGGTACAGCTGCGCTTCGTGGAAAATCCACCCATTTGCTGGGAATCAATAGGAAATTCATACCTTAATTACCACCGTGCCCTCGCCCACGTTTTCCAATTGCGCTTCCAGGGCAAACCGGAGTAACCTCGTTTTCCCGTACGGACCGAGTGACTTATTATCTACCTCGAGCGGTGGAAGTTCGGATGCCTTGGTCCGAACGCTTAAACAGGGCTGTGCCACAAACTGGTATAACTTGCGGAAGGTCCTGACCCGGCCACTAGCTGCCTGCGAGTCTGAGTCAATCTTTGTCTCAGTATAGCTGACACTGACAGCTAGTATATGGTTTCCTTCTTCCTTTAAATCAAACCGTACGATCTTTTGTAAAGACTCGCCGATCTTAAGGCCATCTGTTGATGCAGCGTCGCTGGGTGGCTCTAGCTCCAGTGCCGCGACTGACGAAGGTGTTTGCATTTCCGCAACAACGCGCACCGATGTAAGGACTCTCTCATTGTCATCATCATCAATCTCATTGTTCGCACTGAGTGTGCATCCAAAGGTTTCTCCGACATAGACGGATCCGAAGGAGGGAGGTAGAGTAAGCTATTACCGTTAGTGGGCAGTTTCCTTGGGGGCTTTATGACCGTCTCACAAGAGGCGCTAAAATAAATTGATCATCAGAGTCACCGGATGGATAGCTCAGTGAGGCTTTCGTGGAGATTATGGTGTTCGACGTTGGGAGCGGATACTGATAAGAAAATGACGGTCGCGCGAGGCTGTGTATTGAAAGTCAGGAGCTGCCATCAACACGAAGGTATGGATAATTGGAATTACCGCAACACTAATCAATTAATAATTAGCTTACTGGTCCAATTATGGTTGTATTCACATACCTTTGAGAGAGACCGCATGTGGTTCCTTTGGGGCATCAGCGCCCGACAAAGCCCGTGGACGTGACATGTTGAGTAAGTTCGGGGATCAGCTCTAGAGAGGAAAAGTGAAAATGGAGCAAAGAATCAGCTGTGATCCTGGGATTTGCAGTATAGCGTCATCTTGTTGATGAAGAGGGACAGTCCACAGTTCTCCACGAGCTGATAGCGATAGCGAAGCTTCCCCCAAACAAACAGTGCAAATAGTGCAAACGACCACTCTTTCCTATAGCATCATCACGCAAGACTTCCAAGGTTGATATCTCTTCTTACTGCCTGACCACACATGGATGTGTACAATTGTTGCAAACCAGTCAATTCCTTTCTGTTCTAACACATCTCCCAAATGAATTTGATACCATTTTACAATCTCCAACCTCGAATGTAGACTACATTTACTTGCTAGTTAACTACTACACTTAGTTAGGACATGTTACAAAATTTATTTACACTGTTGGCAAAGCTAAATATGACAAGAAAGCAACAAAAATGATCTATTCATCTCAAATCCGGGTATCATACCAAGCCCCAATTGCCCAAGAAACAAGAAAGCACGAAGGTTTTCAACTCCCCAAAATCCAAGAACACCAAACACATATTCTTCTATATATCCCTTTGAAGCCGCTGACCACGTCGCACAGTCGCGACACTAACGCCTTCCTCACCAGTCATCCACGACGGCATACGCTCAGGGTCAACGATGCCTAATTCGGCAAGTTTGTGAATCCCGCCGATGACGTCGGAGCCGGAGAAAGTGAGTGACACCGCAGGTAACGTAGACGCAGAATCATCAACATCATCATTTGGCTCCTCGCTGGACCCTGGTTTATCGAGGAGTCGGATATCAAGACGGTCCAGCGGTGCTGGGGCAAGTGATTGTCCCAATGTTCCGAATCGGGAGTGGATGGCCAGACGCCGTTTCTTTGAATCAGGGGAGAGTGGATATGTATCGATACTGCTGGATCTTCGTTTGGTCGCTGAGCCATTTGTATTTTCTTTGCCTTCTGCTGGGTCGGAATGACTCGCTTCGATATGCTCTTCAGGTGGGACAGTATTGGAAGGTCGAGGGTCCAACGGACTTCCTTCAATGGCGGCGTCTGCAAAGATGCTAAAGGCACCATTTGATGCCGTTGATCGTCCCGGTCCGCGGAGGGCTAGAAGTGTAGGCAGATTCTTTGCTGCCAGGGATGTTGCCTGCAGAGTGAATCGTTCCTGTGGGCGGGATAAAGCTTTGGGAATAGAATCGCGCACCAGACGCTGAAGAGTTCGAGTATCAGTAGCCACTGAGCTTGCTGAAGGAGCAGATTTGGATCCGGTGGATGCTGCTATGGAAGTGTAGACGTAAGGGCAACTATCCGGGAAAGCGACGTAGATGACTCGGGAAGAGTCGGTAAAGATCTCGGCTGCCTGCCGAGGAGATTGATACGGGGAATCAACAACAAAGATACGTAGGAAAGTTAGTGGCAGCGTTGCTGAGTGGGCGAGGTGGTAATGGGCCTTGACCAATGGGGAGATTTCTCGTTGGAGGCCTTGCACAAATGTTGCCGCTTGCATGCGCGGTACCGCACCGGACCAGTCATCTGGTGGCAGTTTCTTGGAGTTGCTGCGATTTGCATCGATACGGCTGAGCTCGAGTGCGGTCCATCGAAGGCTGGCGGGGTGGTCGTCCATGTAGCGGAGGTCCGCCATGGCCAACTGGCGCAGTGTGATTCCATGTCGCCAATCGCCTTCCAGGATTCGTTCGAGAACTTCGCGCTTTGCGCCCTTTCGGTCCTGTAGGTCTTCATATACCTGGCGAACTTCTTCGATTGTCTCACCCGCGGGGTAGGGGAGGGCTTCGTCATCGTCGGGGCCATCTGCTTCGTCGCCCTGTAGGTATGGTGGGAATGAGGCGATGTTGCGATCGTCAAGCCATGTAAATGCAAGGTCCAGTAGTGCTTGTCTGGATAGCTTTCCCAGTGATTTTGTGAGGGACGGAGTCGACGAGGGAATGCGGAGGTTATTTGGAAGACTGGCTGTTGTTGGGGCGCGAACTGTTTTAAGACGCGCCATGGCTGTAGTTGACAAGGTATTGATACAATACCGGGCGATATTCGAAATCGTCTTGAATCAATGGCAGGCGCATGCCTCTAAATCCATATCTTGATATATTCCCGTGCTTGCCCAAGTTCTTTCCAAATTACAAAATCGACCGTCAACAAACATGCACGTGTCGATAAGCTGATAAGGATTGAGGTCATCTGATTATGTCACCTGGATGCCGATCCATGGATTCATCCACGATCCATGGAGGCCATCTGGTGAGAGGTCACCTGACTTATCTCAGGTTATTCGCTTTAGTTTGATCTATGGACTTTGTAAGCTGTACTTCCTCTTGGTTCCTTTTCTCTTGTACCTACAAAGATCTTTATCGACCCTTCCTTATTTCTTTAATGGTATTTACTTCCTCTATTTCTCCGTCGTACAGTACAGAAGCAGAGGATTGAAAATTCTTAATTATTTCACGATGAAGACCTATGTATCCTTCTAGAATGAAGAAGACATGTTGTACTTCGCTCATCTCGTTACTAGTGGGGTTTGAAAGTTACACCAGTACCTGAAAGATAATGTACATTTGTACTCACCAATAATATGCTGATATGGTATCATATGCATTGTGGGATATGTAATGCACAAGAATTTATGTATACCGAGGCCTGGATCTGCTGACAAAAATGTGGGTCACTTTGGCCCAAGGTTGAAATGTTGAAAGTTGCAAGATGCCCATGGTCTTTTGTTTTAAGCGAATTTTGAACTACGCTTCGAAGGCTCTGTCTCAATAGGGAGCATTTACAATCTCTTTTTTTTTACTGTGAATCAATCTTTCCCTTCTTTATTATGGAGGCGAATGAACGCAAAAATGTTGCCGTGATTGGCACGGGGATGGCTGGGCTAGTTGTAGCATACATGCTCAGGAATGATCCTAGGGGGAGATTTAACGTGCAAGTATTTGAAAAGGTAAAGTTTCCCCTGCGATACTGTACACATGAACTTGAACTAATTTCGACAAAAACACGCAGCAAGACAAACTTTCTCTCGACTCCGCATCATACAATCTCACGGACCAGAATGGGGGAGACTCAAAGCCCGAACGCCTCGATCTTCCTATGCGCACATTCGCCGAGGGATACTACGAAAGTCTCAAACGAATGTATGATTATTTCGGCATCCCATATGGCTCGTTACGGTTTATTTACTCCCTGTCGACACTACCGGACAATGCCTCAGAACAAACCTCTCCATACTACATGCATTCCTCAAATAACCATCAACTACCTCCTCTGCGTCCGAAGGGGTTATCATGGACTGGGTGGCTGATCGAGGTGTGCTACCTGGCAATATGCTATTATTGGTTCAAAGCCTGCTGCTTCTTTGTAGCGCCCAAAACGCTAGAGTCTTCTGGCACGGAGGAATCTCTGCGTCAATACGTGGAGCGAATTATGTTACCCAGCTATTACGTGAAACATTACTTCCTGCCGGTCTTCGCGAGCGTTGCGACTTGCTCACACGACGCGCTCATGGATTTCCCTGCTCTTGATCTGGTCGATTATGGGAGACGGACCTTCCGCAAACATCACTACACTGTTCTTGGTGGCGTCCAGCATGTTGAGCAAAAGCTGTCTGAAGATTTGACGTATAAACTTGGCATGAAGGTGACGGCCGTCGAGAATGTTGGCGCAAAGGTTCAAGTGAGCTGGACAGATACCCGTGATGGCCAGACCAGCTCACGGCTATTTGACCATGTCGTTTTGGCCGTGACGCCTGACGTGGTTGGCGCAATATTCCAGCCTCTCCGAAGCGCAATGAAGGCCGTTCCCACAACGACCGTTCAATCCGTTGTGCACCGCGACTTTTCCCGGATTCTAGATTCTAGCAAATCCCTCTGGGCGCAAGTGTCCTTGAAATCCGGTGAATCAGCACCTCACCCACTCCATATGTGCTCAAATGATACGGTGACTGAGACCGTTCATGAACATCCCTCATCCGCTCTTATCACGACGTATCCTGTTACTCCGATTGACCCTGAGAAGATCTTGCACACTGCCACATTCACTCGTGTTTTGCGATCGACGACCAGCAGACAAGTGGTTAACCAGATTTTCGGTCAGAAGAAATCTGGGGACGAGAAAAGTCAGCTCTGGCGGAATGGAGATGGTAATGTCTGGCTGGTTGGTGGCTGGTGCTGGGACGGGATGGTCCTGCTCGAGGGGTGTCTCGCTTCCGCGACTAGGGTGGCAAGCGCTCTTGATGTCGAGGTGCCTTGGATGAAAGAGTCCTCTTTATAACGACCTGTCAAGACAATGACGAGATTTGCATGTGCATATTTATTTTCGGCATTTATAAATGTTAATATACCAGTGGACACATTCATTATACATAGCATATACAATGTGAATAAACACATCATGAACATCCGACTTTTGCCATGATGTATAAATGCGCTACAATCTGTGGTCCACCGGCCATATATTCAGACCCGCCTTCTCGCTGCCTTTTTCCACCTCGAACCCACCACAAGGCTCAACCTAGAATCCTATACAAATCAGATAGGCGATAATAAGAGTACATTGCAATGGAAACTGTTTTACACCAGTCAGAAGGCCGAATCGGGTGAGTCTAATGCGTCCCTTACACATATGGGATCACCGAGATGATTGGATCCTGGCAGACAGATATTGAATGGCCCGCAGCATCCATGCAGAGGACCAGTATTGATACACATGAAGCAGCCCGGGCACTTAGTCTCGGAAATTAGTTCAGGGTCCTACAGAGGCACAGTTTGAAAACTTACACATGTTTTCGACAATTGACAGAAAGCCTTACTCGTAGGGCAGTTGATGCAATTGCCGTCAACGCAACCTCCACCTCCCAGTCCGAAGTCACACTGTCAAAGGAAACAATAGTTAGTATTCCCATCCAGTGTCTTGCATTTGGAGATCCGATGCGAAGGGGAAAAGCACGTACAGCTATACTACACAATCCGCAATGCTCCACGTCGGTCGTCATATCAACACACGCCCCACCACAGCAAGCCGGTAGCGCGGCAGTACACGGCGCAGCAGTGCAAGATTCATAATGCTGCAAACTAGTAGATAGATCGGCACGCTGCCCAAAGCAACAGCCAGGTTGTGTTCCGCCACGCGGCAAAGCTGAACAGGAATTGCAGTGGTTGTGGAGTACCCAAATCTAATCATCAACTGCTGTTCATATATATAATATCAATAGCAGCTGCCTTCGGCGCACGGGAAGCCCCCAATGTGAAGATATGCCAACGTTTCTCCAATTCCCCGCTGAAAGGTTAGTTTTGCGTAACTATCTGTCGTCAAGATGGGCAAGATGGACACAGAGAAAGTAGCGCGCCAGGGGGGTGAGGTAAATCGATCCTGTGGCATGTTTGGCTGAAGTCCTCGGCAAAGAATGGGATTATTGCAAGTTGAGATAAGACCTATAGACAAGGCACTATGGTAGGTACTACTATACTCAGAGTTGGAGGCGTTTGAATCAAGGTTGGTTCATTAAGAGATGTAGAGATATAGCCGCTAAATATACACTTTTTATAATTACGTTTCCCTAATGGGAATATGATCACGTACAAGAACAAGCCCATTATGCTCATTGCTGGTGCACAGCCTCCTCCGCCTGCACTTCGGCTTCCTCAGCTGCGTGTCCTTCCTGGACAGCTTCATAGAATGGCGCGAACTTGCTCTTCATTCTCAGTCTCCTGCCGAAGAAGTAGAATCCAATGGGAATCGGAACAAGGACGGCTGCGACGCATCCGAGAAGTGTAGAAGCCCACTGTATACCCATGCCATTGAACATTTGACGTGAGAAAAGTGGGAAGCTTGCTGCTACCATTGAGCGGCAGAATGTGTTTGCTGCGATAGCCGATGCGGCACTGTAGATAGTACATTAGATAAGCCCACAAGACAGTTTGAGGAATGGGGATTATGACATACAACATAAGATACGTGTCAATCAGGTAGTTAAACAATTGGATGAAGATGACTAGAAGGCCAAATCCAGTAAATAGGCCACTCAAGGTGGGCACGATCCAGTGGACGGTACCACTGAAGCCGGTCCATCCAAACCAGAAGAGCCCGGCAGCGAAGAGAGCACCGCCGACCATCACCGGTGGGAGACGCCACTCGGGGATGGGGACACCACCGTTCATGTCGAGTTTCTTGTTGTAAGATTTGGTAGAGAAGAGGATGTAAGACGTGGCCATGAACAGACCCACCACCATGCCGAAGAGTGGGAGACCTCCAACACCAGCGTTCATACCGTAAACACCCTGGAAGACCAGGGTGTAGGCGGTCAAGAAGCAATAGAGTAACCCGTAGATGAAACTCAGGTAGATAGTGACAGCTAGAATCAACGGCTCATTAATCAGCAGGCGAAGCGGGCGAGAGAAGTTGTTTATGATCAGCTCTCGAAGATCGACCTCGATTTCCTCTTGCTTCGCATGGATTCCCCAGTTTTTAGTCCGGCGACGCAGCTCCGCGGCTTTTTCCACAAGGACAACAGGGGGGTATGACTCCTTCAGGAAGACAAGATTTAGAAAGAAAGCGCCGAAGCCCATAAACGCGGGGATGTACGCGGTCCAGCGCCAGCCGAGATAAGACATATTAATGAAGCCTCCGATGAAAGGTGCCAGGAGAGGGCCTAGGAACACCGTCGCGCCGAAAATGGCAACGGCAACACCACGGGTGCGGTTGTCCCAGATATCAGAGAACACAGCAGCTACAACTGCCAAGGGACAACTGCCGAAGATACCGCAGAAGAATCGGCAAATCAAGACTGTTTGTAAGTCTTTGCCGACAGCGACTGCGATGTTGAAGACGCCAAATCCGAACATGGCGATAACAATGGGAAGACGACGGCCCTTGAGTTCGGATAGGGGAGCCCATATCAAGGGACCCGAGGCGTAGCCGATGATGTATAGAGAGCTGGAGAGGACGGCGACTTCGAGGCCGACGCTGAAATGACTCGACACATTTCTTGATGAAGCACTGAAAACGGCGGAATCGAAAGTGGAGCAGATACTGGTGAAGGCGAGGATGGCACTAATGTAGCATCTGGATTGGGGATGTTAGTATTGGAGGATGGACGTTGCGTGTTTGATGCGCAGTCGGATATGAAAATTCATGGTGAAACGAACGACTCACTTCTTTTTCACAGGCCAGTTTAGCGGGTACAACGGGTCATTTGGCCCATCGAACTCCACAACGTAATCCTCCCGTGCAGGCAGAGGTGGAGGGTAAGGCTTGCCCCCACCAAAAGCTGGCAATGGAGTTCGCGACGGTCGTGACCGAAGACTCTCACCCACGGTGAGCGCATGCTGGGCGCGTTGCGTCTCGGTTCTGCTCAATGCGCGCGATTCCCCAGTCCGATGACGTTCCAAGTCCACCTCTGTGTTCCGCGATTGCAGCCTATGTATCTGCGGGTCATATTCAAAGGAGCTGGTCGAGCCAGTCGACGATCCAATAGAGCCTGGAGAGGCAGGTCTCTCTATTTCAGCCGAGTTCCGTGGTTTTTCGCTCGATAGATGTGAAGCTTCAGTCTCAGGCAGCTGATCGGCCATATTGCCAGCGGTGACCGCTTTATCAATTCGGGGATTATTGGCCGATCTCGCAGATCTTCTTGGCTGCAGTATCTTTTTCCCCGTTGGGACTGTCAGAGAGATCGGAAAGGTACAGGGTGCCTTAAATATGTAGGGGAAAAGTCTTTTTTGCAATTTGTTTATAAAAACTTTTCCCAAAAAAAAGGAGCGCCGAATGCAACTATGATCGCCTAGACCCACCACTTAGCGGCTTCAACTTGGGATAACTGCCGAACTTATCGGGTAAAACGGAAGCAGTAGAACTTCAATATTCCTAACAACCAAGATAACATATATCGAGATATGTTATAATGTATATTGACGATTTGCAAATATGAATAGCCAAATCGCCATATAGTTTTTTTCTTCGTTAGAAGTGAGCTCAGGCAGAAATTAATGAAATTATCTCGGCCCCGAAGTACCTGGCTGTGGAGGTACCGCCTCTTTACGTCATCATGAATCAGGGCGCCACGAGCTCGGGAGGCTTGCATATGCTGCTATATTAAGGATATTATTATATACAATTCATATGACCGAGCAGAGATTTTAGTACTTTATTGTACAATATCATTGTATTGTACAATAGATTTTATACACTTTGTGTACATCGTACCATACACCCTCCAGGGGAGTGGAGATTGGGCATATATGGCCCACACGCAAGCCCACTAGTATATAATACTCCCAACGGAGTACTCCGCACATATGATATAGAATGAAAAATGTCTCAGACTTCTTGATCTTGGAACGACCATCCCTCTTCAAATTTTTGGTGTTCCTCTTCCGTACAAACTTCCATAAAGTCCAAACCCAAAGGTTTATTCCTCTCAACGGCAAAGTCATACAAGTCATTATCCACCCAGCCATTTTCTGAAATGTGGAGCTCATCACGTCAGGCATTGGCAATTGCGCCCAAGGTTGCCCTCCACTCTTTAGATACATCAGCGCGCCACGCAGAGTTGTGTGGTCTCCCCACCATTAGCCCCCAAAGTATTTCACAAGCTGCTGGTGTAAGAAGACTAGCGGGTTGCGTAGAGCTCCTAGGTGCTGTTTGTTGACTGCGCTATTGGATACGCGATATCGATAGGATATGTAGCTTATTTGAAGGTGATAGTCAATCTCAGCTTTTTCCTGGGGGTTCATCTCGGCATATCCGAGTGGTTTAGTTCCTGGTTCTAGATCCTCAAGGCTGGCTGGTGGATGATGTTGGAGCATTTAAAGTGTCCAGCAATAAGAGATAATAGAAGGATGATCGTGTGCTACCAGTCGATCGTGGATGTTATCCTAAATGTGTCTGGTACCACGACGACATTGGCAAATGTGAAGTCTACATTGATGGTCAGTATCGGTATGCATCAACACACGAGACGCAAGGTGAGATACCGGGGTGACGGAGTGTTGGTCGGTTTGACACATTCCCGGGGTCTATGGGCAGAAGGTAAGGAGCCACTGCCATATACTTGCGAAGAAGCGCTAGATAATCATGTTGAGACGCAGCACCTGGAAACTCGAGACTGCAAGGGAAGCGTTTGATTCTCTTTCTAAAATCTACTGTCCATTGGAGTTCCTTCTGCGCGGTAGCAAGCAGGCAGTGTGTTGGGTCGTTTCCTGAATGTAGGCAAAGGGTCGAGTGAGCGAAAACGTCACCATCCTCAATTGATCAGACATACATGGGCCCTTGTCTAAGTCAACCGCTGTCGTCGCCCATGCCAAAATCCACAGTCCGCGACAGGCCCAATACAGTAGAAATTAGCGTCGTTAGTCTCGCCTGGCGTACCCGGCGTGTAGAATCTGCTCTGCGGATTAGTGGGAATATCGCTTTTGAAGTAAAGCCTGCCTGCCTATAGTAGCAAAAGGAATATCGAACATCGTCCACAAAAGCCTGGCGATTAGGTTCTGACATATTCGAACAGTTATTTTCAGCTGTTGCAATGCGCCATGCACATTCCATGACAATATGTTCAATCCAATTGGATTGTGCGTCGTTGAAGACCTGCCGTAGACTTTAGGCACTGGACTTTAGGCACTAGTATTTTTTTGAATGGGGAAAGGTGAGAGTAGCGACCCCACTAGCAGTGGTGTATGTATTTGGCACTGTGCCCCGGTATGGGATTTTGACAATGGCTTGGAATCCGTCTTCCATGGTAGCTATGAGCATTCGATTGAAACCGCCTTCGCTCATCTTGGAAAGTTGGGTGATCTTTCTATGGCTACATGGCTTGGAACCGAATTTTTAAGAGCCGTAACATTGAATGGGACATGTCGTTCCCGAAGATGGGCTGCTTCATTGTATAAGAATCATCCAGATGAATATGAAAATAAGCTATTGTCAGTTGTCACATCTGATCGTAAGATGAGTCTACATTGATGAAGACACAGAAGAAAACACCCGAGAAACTTGACGAAGACCCACCTTGGGATGATCGGCAGTGACATGTGAAACTTTTTGATCTTTGTTTGGCATGAGTGAGGCGTCAACAAAATTGCTCGACGCGCATGAGAAATCCGCGGACCGTGCCATGACGCCGAGCAAATAATCGGGACCAAACTCAAGTCGATATCTTAAGAAGAGGACTTGGTATTTGTGTTGTCCTGAGATTCTGAAGCCAGTGAGTTTCAATGTTGTCAAGTTTACTCGGAGGTCTGATAAGGTCAGCCTGGGCTGCATGCCTGACGAGTCAGGTTTCATAAGGCGGTACCTAGGTAGGTAGGTAGGGAAGGTGTTGAAAACGAGAATAATATCTTCTGCAAAAAACTGCTATATACATCATAGCAAGCAAAAACTTGCGCCAAATTTTACCTATACTAAATGACCCACTCGGACGATGAAAATGCACAATCGACACCCCAAGGGGACTAATCTATTGAGATCTTCAACAGCATGCAGCCAAAGTTAGGCTGCGTGGATGAGAGGATCCACTGAAAAAAGGCTGCGTAACGACTGTTCGAGGATGTGTTACTCTACCGGGTCTCTTTTTCTTAAAAAAGGTAACGGGCTAATACCATATTAGCACCACACAAGACAGACCACTGGACCATCCAGACTCTCACTCCTTTCTCGCAACAACTACAACCCCCCGAACAATCCTCCCCTTAGACCACCACTCGAAAACAAAGCTCGCCGCACGATACTTCCCCATTTTAATCCCAAAAGGCCTGGCCTCCTCAACCCTGCGCTTAATGAAACCCGCTAGCCCCCCAAACACGTGCTGCGAGACATCCCGGATCTCAATAGAAGTAGGATTATACCCAGCGGTAACGAGTAGCTCCACGTATTCCTTCTCAGAAATGAAATTCCCGAATGGTGAGTTCGTGCACCAGCACACGAGTCGGAGGAGGATCTTTTCGTACCAGGTTATACTGTTAGATAGTATCATGTCGAAGGCCATGAACGAGGCACTGAGGGAGTTGTGTGCATAGGTTAAGAGAGGTAGCCGTGAAGGGCGGAAGTGATACATTGTGTCTAGGGCCAGGAGCCAGGTGGATGTGTCTTCATTTTCATTTTGTTTGGTGGACGCGTCTTCGAGGGCAATGATTGATTTCCTCAGCGCCCCAGTCCAAGAGCTCGGGACCGCGGCATCCGCGCAGAAGATATCTGCCTGGATAAATTCCTCGCTGTCTCGCTCCATACGGCGAATGCGGCTTGAGCCGAGCGCGGCCTGTGCAGGCTCCAGCGTGATTCCGATATAGGAGTCTAGGCGTAGCAAAGAGGGAAATTGTGGCTTAATCTTGCTGTGGCGAGACCGCAGGCCTGAGTCCAGTGGTTGGATATCTGACTGGGTACTGATGACAGAGGCGGGGGTTGCCGTCCTGGCCCCAGTCCCAGATTCAGGACCGGACTGGGATGTAGAGGAAGAGCCGTCAAACATTTTCGTCAGGTACAATGACTGATCACCACAGCCACACCCTACATCCAGGATTCTCAAGGCAGCCGCCTTCTCCGTTGACAGCGCAGCCGTGAGAACCTGATCTAGGAGCGCTTGACAGGCTTCTGGGAAGTCGTTTGTGTACTATGAAGTGGGTCAATGTGGATTCAAAATGTTATTTGGCGAGACGATTGTTTAAATGGTCTTTATTTGGGTGGATTTACCTCCCAATACCCCATATTCATCCACATACTCTGTTGTGGAAGCTGGATGTTGAGGACGGCATGGTCTAGACCGTACACGTTTGCACGTGGTTTACGCAGGGCGCGTTTGAGGAAGTCTAGCATTTCTTAATACTTCTGTCGGATGGGGATGGGAGTAGACAATAATCTTCCCTCTTTCGTCGTTCTGCAAAGCCAGGGTGTGGAGCTTCCTGGGTGGATCAGTCGGCTATTAATGCCAAGCTATGTCGGTCTACTCCGAACTCCGTACTCCGTATAAGTTGCAGTATATAGAAGTAAAGGGAATATGGGTTTGGTTCCAATGTATAACTCACACCAGTTCGACAAACATAAGGCTGGGCTGAAACGTATGAATAACTCTAAAATACTTAAACTACGTGAAGAGATCATCACTCATCCACCCACCACCCCCCTCGACCTGCAGACGGTAAAGTAAATCCGCAGTGGCTCTGACTGCTAATAACAAAGAAAATAACATGGCTGGAAAAGAATACTATGAACAAGAAATCAAAGATAGTGACGTGGGACTAACAGGGAAAAGCCCAGGACAGTCACCACCTGAAGCAGCAGAGTAGAGTAGGAGGGCAATCAAATAAGACTCGGGTTTCTTTTTTTTCGATAATTTTGCCGATTTTTTCTTCTTTTAGCATTGAGTAATGCTTTATACAGTAGTGCTCACACCGTGCTTGAGGTCGGAGATACTTGAGCCATCAGACTTCTGTGAGGCCAAGAACTTCTTGAACATATCCGAGATGTCTTGCTCGGACTGCTCGTCGGCACCGTTCTTCTCCATGATCAGACCACGGAGCCAGTGATTCTCCAGCTCGAGCTGAGACACGCGAGCCTCAAGAATGTCGTTCTTATCGGTGGTCTCCTTGACGGTCTGCTCGAGAGCAGCCTCACGTTGCTTCTTCTTCACACGGAAGCGAGCACTAGCAGCGGTATTACGGCGGCGCTTGTCCTCCTCGGCCATATGGCGACTAGCCTCCTCGGCACTCTCCTGGGTTGAGTTGGACGAGTTCTTGCGCTTGGTGCCGGTAATCGGCGTGGAAGGTGACCTAGAAACCGATGATGGAGCCGGAGCGACCTTTAAGGCGGTGTTGACTGGGGCAGGCTGAATGGATGCCTGGTTCGCGGCCACAGGCCCATTAGGAACGGACGGAACTGCCGAAAAGTGGGCATTGTGCATGGGCACCTGGGCATTGCCGGTCAGGTCGGGCTGGTAATCGGACATGCCATTGAGTCCCTCTGCTGTAAAGATATTAGCATTCAATTTCACAATATCCACATCGCAGGTTTGGGTCTTCCGATGAGTAGCTGGCAGTCCGAGAGTCCGAGCAGGGATGCCGATCACGTGAAATGGCGTAATAGCGGAGAGGATTCACGCCAACGACGAAAGTCAAATTTGAGTGGGAAAAACCCTGCTAGGGTAACGGGAAGGATGACATGCAGGGCTCAAACTTTTCGAGGCGGGAGGTCATAGCTGTGAAAGGGCATGGGATGATATTCAGGGTATGAAGCGCAGGAAGCGCCATAAAATGCCAGCCAAGACATGACTCGTGCAATAGGCATAAATGACGAATTCATAAGGCAACCAATAGACAATGGTCCCATGGACACGGTTGTGTGAATAAGTCCGCGGGGTATGGTGTGATCAGGGGAAAGCCATGCAGCTCAGGACTCGGGACTACCTAACCAGCGATGCGAAAGAAACCGAAATCAGCCACACTTACCATTCAGGAAATCCAAGAACTTCAGATCGTCATTTTGTGCGGATTGGTCTGAGACGGCCTCGTGTGTCTTGCTGTCTTCTGGGAATGAAGGCAGACCGCCGAAGTCGGTAAATTTGTCGAACTCGAAGAACTCGGTATTGGTGAACAGAGCCAGGTCCTCATCGTTGAAGGTAGTCTGCTGCTGTTGCTGCTGCTGGGCCTGGTCGTACGGCGATGGAATTGCGTTCAAGTCATCGAGGTATTGCGAGAAGTTTGGCATGCGACGCCCGTTGTAGTTGGCCATGATGAAGGCTTTCCCGTTTTCCCGGTACAATCAGTTGAGGCAGATGCCGATGAACTGTGTGGAAATGCGCGTTGCGCAGGCGGACAGACGTGACTCAGATACCGAATGCGGCCCGGTGCGAATTCGTCGCGAGTGCGATAGATGTCGAAGCACCTGTTGCGAGGTGACTGTATTTCGATTCGAGTGAATCGTGAATTTGGCGATATTGTAGGATAGAAGCTGGAGAGAAGGAGACAGAAGTTGGGGCCACAAGTGGGTTTTTTCTTTGAACGTTCAGTGGGGGGGAAGCCCGGGGCCGGAGGGGTGGATGATGATTAATCTCCCGATTTGCCTTCATCTGCTTCCCGATCCGGATATACTGGGAGATTGTGATCCTGGAAATACTCTATAATTAATTCTACTACTCACTTTCTCTTCCGATTTACCCTACCTTTTTATTCCTTCCCATGCTCTAAGTCAATATGTCTAAAATCTGATAGAAATGAATTGATCAAAGGCCGAGGATCGGAGCCCACCGAGTTTAAATATTCGGTTCCACGTTTCCATTTTCGAATTAGGCAATTCCACGATGATCCTGTATATATAATTATTCCAATGTATTTTATTGCATACAACATACATTCTAGGATATGAGATGAATACTGCACGAATCACGCATTACCCTCTTCCTCCAATCCTCCAATGCCTCATTTTCCTCGGCAGTAGCATTTTCATTAAGAGCGACAAACGCGGCTCCCACACAAAACGGACACCGAAATGGGCCCCCGAAATCGGGGTCTGCAACCTCTGATTGGTGAGCCTTCACAGCTTGGTCAGCATGGAACCAGCCCTTGAGCAACGCCCTTCGTGTTCAGGTTTAAGTTATTCCTGGTTTTTCCGAAGTGCCTCCGAATTATTCATCAGCATAGGTCATTTTAATGCCTTATCTGTCTACTCCCAACTCTGGGAATTATGTGTTTCAACCTTGCCATACAAACATACTAAAACGCTATATGAGTGAGATCTTTGCTGATCCTCAAGCACAGACTTTTACAAGGGTAAAATTCAAACTCAATGCGGTTTAGCCCTGATCTCGGTGCACTGGCCAGTGGCTCTATGAGGAATAAAACTAAGTCCAACTCCTAACTTATTGGGAATCACCAATTCGATGCAACAATGAGCACTCTTGTTCCAATGGTGGATACAATGTGCATAGCATGCGGAATCATTTTCTTGGTACTATCCCCACACTAATATACATAAAGCGTAGATTGTAGATCCTGCAACGTGATGCTGTCATAGTTCCCGCAACGTCATGGCATTCTTTTCTATCCTATTATGCAAACCTTTAATTTATCCTACCCTTCACTCTTCAAGTCTAGCCAAGCCAAGCCGCTCCACTCCCAGCTCGGGGCATTTCAGTTATTTGTTGAACGTTCTTAACATCCACATGTCCGCGACGTCTAGTCACACATAGTTCCGTCATGATCTCAATATCAATATAGGCACCATTTCCTGTCTTAAGCAAAACAATCTAGGGTATCTCAGCTGATCATAGTCTACCTCTGCCATTTGGTATTGTCAGCAGTCGATTTCGCAAAGAGATCTTACATACCTTTTTGTTGTCCCATTGAGCCTCACCTCTACAGAAGAATCGTTCGCGAACCTTTTTGGAACAAATCTCGCTAGGAACTCGGGTTGAGCGATCAATTGATCACCGGGAACTTTAGTGTAGAGACACCGATGTTGGAAAAGGCGTTACTAACGTATGTCCGAGAATGGCTATAATAGCGTATTGCGGTCAATGCAGGCTCCTCTAGAGATTTACGCAGTGATAGCAGCAATGGGCTCTGTACACTCTCCTAGGAAATGCTCTAGCTGATACACTTCTTCAATTACGGTAAGATGGGACAGCATTACGTGTGAATCGTTGACGTGGCTAATAACCGTACAACAGAACAGCACCTGGTGCAACTGCGACGAGTACATAGTAACTTCAATGTATTAAAGCACCCTGCAAGGTTATTGTATATTCCCCAAAGCCCAAATTTCTCAGTCAGTATTCGATTGTATATATAGACTGCTTTTCTAATATAACATAGCAACCAGCCAAGATAATTCTGTTTCTGTCATCGATGATCAAAGCAAACCCTTCTATGACTTTACCGTCGTTAATGAGTATGTTTAGAAAGTCTACAACGTTCGTGATGCATGTTGAATTCAACGAAATGCTCCCCAGTTACGGTAGGCTTTTGGGTCCACCGCGCCCACATATGTATAAATGTGAGAGGTATTTTGAGCCATGGGTTGGACAATATTTGACGGTTATATATGGATGGAAGGATGAGAGCCCTGGGGAGATAGGTCTAGATAGTGCATGCAACGTGAGCTCACTCTGAAATGCCAAATACCCAAAACAGTGAGATAATCAAAAGAAGTCCCATAAGGTCTTGCCAACTTGCGCAGACATAGGTGCCATGTATGCCCAAGGCCCGGCAGTTAGTTGCAGTTGACTCGCCGCTACAAACAGGGTTCAACATCAGACAGAAATGTATTTTTGCTTTGTGGTGCCGAGAACAAAAACGTTTAGTTGTTTGAATTGCTACATATTGCAGATATGAAGAAATGGACCTAAAGCCGAATCTTGTTGCAAACATTCTTGTTTCTTCGGCCAGAATTTGGAGATTTAGTGTTACCCTGCGAGACGTCACACTACAACGCTCTTGAGAACTTATTCCCACTTTTATGATTTCACAGAATATGAATAAACCATATAGAAGTCGATGACACGTTGCTCAGCTGGCCAAATGACTACGTATTGATTTTGTACTAAGGGTCTTTTGCTAGGTGTGTCAAATGTGGCAAACAACCCGAAAGCAACCTCTGCCAAACCGTTTGACGAAGTAAGACAAACCCAATGACGGGCAATGGTATCCCAATTCTTCTTTATCCTGCTAGTATAGTATTCTTCCAGTGAGCATCACGACGGAAATGACAAGTTTATTCAACATCTAGGAGAAGACGTCCACAGGTATATAATCGCCTCGCGGCAACCTGGAAAGGGATGAGCCTCGAGATTTTTATCAGAACAACCTGATCATCCGGGGCATTATTGCGCAGCAGACAGTCTTCCACAGGAACTGTCAAACCCGAAGTCCTACCCAGCCAAGGTAACTGTATTTGAGGCAATGACTACTTACCAAGCCTTCGCGTCTAGATTCCCAACCGCTAATATCATCCACACTGTAAGAACCCACATGGACATGTTATAAATATGAGAATCACTATCCATTCCTTGTCAGTGATGAGCCAAAGAGGTCCATCATCTATGTCAAATCGCTCGTCCTTTCGGTTTGTCGCAAGTCAAACAGGGAACAATGGCGACAAGAGCGAGCATAAAAACAACAGGACTGAAAATGCCGGAGATGACATAGACAAAGACCTTGACGGGCTTTCAGAACAAGAGGTGTTTCAGACAGGAGTCAACTTTGTCTTATCGTCAGTACCCGCATCTTCCACTAATCTTCCACCATAGTGCTCACAAATTTGGGGATTGGAACGGCCATGGCTATCGCGTATTTCAAGCACACATCCCTCAGGCCATGCCATGTCAACGCAAGGAACACTGCTACAGCTTGCACCCCCAACCCTCGACGGCGATTCACGATGGCAGGTTTCGGCAGAAGTCTTTCAAAGGCTGTGCGAGATGGCGGACAAGCTTAGCTAGGATGGGTACATTACGCCCGTCCAGGCGTGGAACAGGATAAGAGATCATGAGAACTTTTCACGGTTGATGTGTGAGAGTTTGAAAACATTGGAGAATGCCATGAAGCTTAATATCAAGTGTCAGGGGTGAGTAATTTGTTCTTTTCTCGATTGCTAATTCTGCGTACTAATGTACTGCAGGTTCGTAGCAATTATGGAAGTCTTCAGCCATCTTCGAGATACTGCTGAACACAGCTCTTGGTCCATGATTAACGATTTCTACGGCACTCCAAGGCTTGACCGAACTTTGCGTTCGATGCTTGTTTTTCTTTTTCCTTTTGTTTTATTTATTTCACTTGTATAATTTGCCCTTAGGGGGTAAGCCCGAGGAATGTCACCCATCGGTTCTGTGTAGATGACATGCGCCTGTCTGTTCGCCTATTGACCCTGAACAAAATTAAATATTCAAAGGTTATATTGGCAAAAAGGAACTAGTAGGCTGATGCGACGGTGGCGACTAAATCTAAACTCGTGCAAAAATGTGTACACAGGTTTCAAGGCTTCAAACGGCTGAAGTCAATGGTCATAAAACATGAATGAAACTATCGATAGATAATACGTTATATTTGCCTTTCCATACCCCTTGCTATAATCGATCGCTACGTGGTCCCCGTAGTGATTATTTTGCATTAACAAAGGTCCTTGACGACCCATGATTATATGTGACCGAAACCTCGGTTATCATGTTGATCTTTTCTCCCTTTGGAGCGAGGGGCTTTAGGATTGTCGTTTGACTTCCCGTGTGACTTCCCAAGTTGTGAACAGACGTATGTTCGATGTTTGTCTCCGTTTCGCCCTGGGAGTTGTCGAAGACCTTGTTGCTGGGAGGCAGGCGTGGATACGAGATCATGTTATAATTATCCGACGCTGTGCGGGGGAATATCTTCGTTAAGAGAGGCTTAAGGGCGGGAATGGATGCAGCGGCGATAGCGAGACCATCTTCCACAGCTGCCCAGACTAACAAGGGAGCAAGTTCCCCTAAGTAAAAGGAAGAAATCAGTTTTTGACAAAAACAAAAAATAAACAATTAGTGACGTACATGTGAAGTCGGCTTTGTCTGAGAGGGCCATGAGGTGGATAGTCTTGACTATGGCTGCTGCACCTGCGCTATGGAGAGACAAGCCAGTCAGTACGTGGATTGACGGTTAAGAGTTTGTAGGGGTTTCCAGCGACCTACAATATTCCAAGACTCATTGCAACGGCCACACCAAACTTTTCCTTCTTCCTCATTTGCAAGTTCCAGACAATCGTCCACGGCAGCAGTGCTAAGACGAAGTCTTGTGCTGCGGAATAGGCTGTGAGAGGGAATTGACATGTTAGTCGTCAATAGTAAAGCAGAACAGACTTATGCAAGAAGACCTACCACCAACAAAGAGAGATAAATTGGTAAAGACGTACGACGGCCAACACTCTGATGGAATCGTCGGATCCCACAAATGTCGAGGATCTTTGCATTGCATAAAGGCAGAGATTGCAGTCAAAATGTTGAGAACGTTCATTGTAACGATCACGAACCATAGCACGATAACCATCCATCTTTGGACTACAATCCGAAGCAACGTGACAGCAAAGGAGGTCTTGCCAATGGTGCATGTCATGATTGCCAGGCATTCGCTAATAGTGCACAAGAGCGCCAGCTGGATGAAGTTATCGGGGTTTTTCTGGACGACTTCGACGTGTTGTCCTAGGCCCAGATTTGCAGCAACATGACAGACAGCAGCGTATGCAATCATACAACCCTATCAAGGGAACGAAAGTCAGCACGATCACCCGAGATAGTCACAAAGAAACGAACTCCCTTACAAGCGCGACAATTACAATAGCGTCATCCCAGCCAAATACTCTCCGCATGTATACTCGCACATACAATCGCATCAAAACGAAGATCAAAGGAATCACCGTCATCGTCCACATCACACCCTGCACCATAGCAGCTTGGCTCTCCAGGGGGAGAGATGCACCTTCACTAGACGGCATCCCGTTCTCCATTGCTACCCAGGATCACAATCCGGGGTTATACCCGTAAAGTGAAAGATTCAACGCCCAGATGTGGGCACGCCACGGGTGATTACAAGCGCATGAGACTACAGGGGAATTAAGCATTGTTAAGAAGGGGTCATATTTCAAAACTAGATTAACCGGAGAAGATAAAAGCTGGACAGGGGCAAAGTCCAAAAAAGCCATTAATTATTATGGCAAGTGGAGGTCATTACCAAGATCTTGAAACGATCCAATTGATCGGTTTAGGGCCTTCGTAATTGAAACCAATCTGACATTGTGATTGATTCGCGTAGCACGGCAGTGGATCTTCTAGGGCGAAAACCAGGATATGTCATTTCCCAAATAGGCTAAGTAGACGTGCTGTCTCAAAACGATGGCGAGACCGTTGTAAAGCTAAGGATATTATCACCAAATGAGGAAATTGGCTTTCATCGCAGAGCCAATCATAACCATCAAAAATCAACTACCGACTCCACATTCCTTCTACTTGAATATAGTTTTCATATTATTGGAGAGAGCATGGTCAACGTTCCGCACTAAAAGCCGGTATGCGCGGCATTCACTCCTTTTTTTTCTCCGCAATGGACCCAGCTTTCACGCCTGAAAACATGAAGGTGTTGGTCAAATCGGCCCCTTTATCTCAACCCGCTTATAGTGCTTGGAGGGGCTTTGAAAAGCTGCTGTCAGTGCTACACGTCGGACGAAATCCCGACCATTGGCAGTGTGAATTGGATTTGGAAACTCGTTGCTACTCTGCACGTACCTTGGTACGCGAGCAGAATCCACATCTTATCGATATCGGAAATGATCCCTCGTCCTTCCAGCCTGTGGGCCCAGGCCCTAGCCACTCTGGGTCTGCTTGTTGTGATAAAGCTGATTTCGGATGTGTTCTTTTCGCGCTTGAGAACCATCCCTGGCCCGACGTTGGCCAAGATCACTGATTTTTGGCGTGCGTTCCATGCATATGGTGGACGCATTGATCTTAAGCATGTTCAATTACATCGGAAATATGGCACCGCGGTACAAGTCGGGCCCAATTGCGTGAGCATATCAGAGCCGAATCTAATTCGAACAATTTACTCTACCCGCAATCCCTGGAAAAAGGTGGGAAATATCGTCTCCTAGTCAATACCGTTCGTTTAGATGTCGGAATAGGCCGTGCTGACATGTAATCATGTAAAGAGTGATATGTACCGCCCCAATGACGTACTGCTTGAAGGTCACCGAATGTCAAATCTCTTCAATACCCAGGATGAAGATTGGCACAACCAGAATATCCGACCTATTCGGGGCCTTTGGAGCATGACCAAGGTTCTGGAATACGAGCCCTTGATCGATGAAACATTGAGCAAGTTTGTGGACAAGCTAGCGCTGAGGTTCGTCGATGGTGATAACGCAGGAAAGGTTTGTCCGGCAGATGAATGGATTGGTTTCTGTGAGTATACTCCTAACCACCCCATCGGACCCTGCGTAGGTTGAAGCTAACACATCATATAGTCGCCTGGGATGTCACCGCCAACTACAGCTTTGGTCGGCACTATGGATTCATTGACCAGGAGAAGGATGTCGACAATTTGATCACGGACTCGACTGCTGGCTTGAGATACTTCGCACCAGTAAGTGTCCCGATATCAACGATTCGGTGTGAATAAGGACGGCGACTGACACGTCATACTAGGTCTCTCAAATCCCATGGATTGACAACCTCCTGGACAAAAATCCGATCAAGCGCATTGGGCCCAAGCCCACCTTGACAGGCGTCCTATACGCCTTCAAGGTCGTCGCCGAGTATCAGGCTGAACTCACCGAGAAGAAAATATCCACAGGTACTGTCAACCATACGCTCGACAAATACGTGCAGCTGAAAGAAACGCACCCCGACATGGTCGATGACAGCCAGATTGTCAACTGGCTGATGTTGAGCATTCTTGCTGGAGGTGACACGAGCTCCGCCACCATGCGTGCTACCCTTTACTACCTCGCCAAATCACCTGCTGCGACAGCCAAGCTTGCGACTGAGCTCAAGGCCGCCGGTATCTCTACCCCCGCTCCCTGGAAGGAGATCCGCGACTTGCCGTACCTGGATGCCGTCATTCGCGAAGCTCTGCGCATTAGCCCCGGCATTGCCATGATCTTCGAGCGTGTCGTTCCAGAGGGTGGATTCACGCTTCCCGATGGACGATATCTCCCTGCAGGTACCAAGGTCGGGATCAACCCATTTGTCACAAACCGTGATTTCGGAGTATTCGGAGATGATGCCGATGACTTCAAGCCGGACCGCTGGCTGCAGCGCAAGGATGAAAGCCCAGAGAGCTTTGAGATTCGCCTGCGTCGGATGAAGGATACCATCGACTTGTCTTTCGGTGGCGGAGGCCGGGTTTGCATGGGCCGGTATCTCGCCATGTTAGAGATCAAAAAGCTCATTGCGACGCTGTATAGCTTGTTCGATGTGAGTGGTTTATTAATGTTTCTTGGATTCCAGCTTCTTGGTGCTAACTTGCGATATAGATTCAACTGGTTGACCCCAATCATGAATGGAGCTACCAAAATTCCTGGTTCGTGTATCAGTACGATATGCCCATGATCATTCGGCGCCGATGAAATACCGTCCTTGGGCCAGTTGGCTTTGATAGCTAGGGGCGGATGGATATCAACACTACGCTGATGACATGCACATGTAAAGAGTACTCACCAGGAGTGGGATCTAGGAAAGGTCTAATGAATATACGAAAGATCTGAACTTGCATGCAATATGGATTGAGTAAAAACGAATTTGTCCATACCGCATGGGGTATCAAAGTCCCAGCCTAGAAAACGCCGCCAAACAATTAAGAATATCCAGGTCCTTGGAAGGTCCCATGCATCAAGTCATAATGTAGTAAAGGATCGCTGTTACTTCGCTCAAACTTCCGAACTGACCATGCGTAACTTCATTTAAGCAAACCTCACCGTTCGATCGGGACTGGTAAAGGTATGCGGGTACGTGCGACGTGGAATCATGTCTTGAGCGGTTCAACGGGAAAGGGGGTTTCATCCTTGGTCCCCACTTCATCCTCGTTCTTCTCAATAGATTTTCCGTCATTGCCTTCCTCGCCAGTAATTTCCCCCCACCCAGAACTTCTTCGACTCATGCGACCAGCCATGGCCAATGGGCTGCTGACACCCCCGGCAATACTGGCGGCAGTACTGTCATTTCGACTGTGCGATTGAACACCACTGCGAATGCTGGCTGTATCGCCGCCGGCGGTTTGCTTAGTGGTGTACAAGCCGCCCCGCTCCGCAGTGGTGCTAGCTAGCGGGATTGCTCCGGAGGCCGAGTAGACACTAATGCGTTCAGCACTAGCAAGGCCAACAATACTTGGTCGGTTTAGTACGCCCGATGCATTGAACACCGAGGTATTGGATGCTTCCGTGGTATGTCCACTCAAAACACTCAATGGCAGGCTCTCCCGACTGCCGCCAAAAACAGAAGACGGAGCCAATCCGCGTACAGATGCATTGGTATCCAGCGAGTTGCGACGACGGCGCTTAGATGAGCTCGCTAAAGTGAGAAGAGAGGCATTATCGGTCAAGGCATTGTTTGCGGTTGCGGCGCTGTACGTCATCGTATGGTTTTGGGGCACCAGATGCGGGGGGACTGCGGTAGCGGGTGAGGTCGAAGGAAATTGGTGAGAGAATTGAATCTGCTGATTCGAGGAGCTCTGTGTCGAACTGCCATGGTGGTGTCCATTATTGCTGTTTTGCGCATTGTACAATTGGGTTGAGGGCGCCGCCGAGTGTACAGTGGTCAAGGTAGTGGTCATCGATCGAATTGAAGGTGCAGGTGACGAGAAGGTACTACCCTCACCTCCTCCATGAGTGCTGAATCCTTCGGTGCCAGTTGTCAATGTGCCTGCCTTAGAATACGCCGCTTCGGAGAATGCGGCGTCGCCGTTGGTTGAAATAGTTGGCGCAGCGGATTTTGCGCCTGTCAGGGGAACTGGATTCCCATAGCCCGAACAAAAAGATGGGTCGCTTCTGGAGCGACATTCTGCACTATAATGATCACCCGTGTATGAATCGGTCGGTGTCTGAGTACCTGTGTCACGGTTGATTGTTCCAGAGAGCGGATATGGGTTGTTTCCTTGATCGCTTTTCTTGCCCTTATTACCCGCGGAGCGCTTGTTGGACCATCGATTTGCCGTAGATTCAGAGGAATTCTTAAGGTTCGCCAGGCGTTTCACCCAGCTCGAGAATGGACGGCGACGTGCATTCCGGTCTTTTTTGTATGAATCCCTTAGCAGCGGTTCACGGTAGCCAACAGGCACAATCCGTACTTACCATGCACCCTGGCTGGACCATCAGCAGTAGCCATTCTAGCTTGAAGAGGTAGCGTATTCACTACCAACTCTGGCTTGCGAAAGGTCAAAGGTAGGCAAGGGAGCAGAGCCCTGGGGAACAAGCCGCGCCGGGGCAGATGGGGCAACGGGCGGGGAGACTGTTTATCCGTGCACGTCATGTGCCTGCCTTGCCTCTTGATCTCTACCTGACGTATTTTCAACATTCTAAACGTTTTATTCTTTTGTGAATCAGTGCCTGACACCTATTGGCAAGGATCTAGCAGTGACAATGACAGGTTATCATGGTTGAAATGCATGGTCATAGTTGTGTTTCCAAAATCCATTTTGGGGTCTTTCTTCACGCATCTAGTGGCGCCATGCCCCAGTGAATACAAACAACAAACAGCTGCGTCAATGTCTCCTTCTCAGTCAATAATACGATCGCTACCTTCTGATGTGATTGCAAAGATCAAATCGTCTACATCAATTGTACACCTGACTGGTGTTATTTTGGAGCTAGTCAAGAATTCTTTGGATGCCAATGCACAGACTATCTTCGTCACTGTCAATTTCAAACGTGGTGGCTGTATAGTTGAAGATGATGGCGATGGAATTCCTCCGGCCGAGTTCGAAGTTACAGGAGGGTTAGGCAAGCCTCACCGCATGTCTCCCCACCTTGAGGTTGTATTGTATGCTGGCTAACATATGTAATAGATACATCCAAATTTAAGCTGGATGGCTTGTATGGCCATCGAGGCTTGTTCTTGACCTCCCTGGCCTCGTTGTCTCTGCTCACTGTGACATCTCGTCACATTCGTCATGGATGCACAAACTCTCTTATTCTTCATCATTCCACGCCTGTGGCTCGACTAACCCCTGCACCGCCACATCATGTGCTTCGCTTTGCCAGCCATGGCACGTCTGTGACTGTCAATGACCTTTTTGGGAACATGCCAGTTCGCGTCAAGAGTCGAGCTCTCACTCTTCAGCGGCCGGACGAGCTAGAACGAGAGTGGGACCATCTAAGGAACTCCTTGGTGTCTCTCCTGTTAGCCAATCCCCGATTCTCAAAATTAGTCCTTCTCGATGTGGAAAGAAATAAGCGGATGTCTATTCGTCTTGTAACTGCCTCCATGCCCGAAACACACATCCCTCATGGTCCCACAGAATTTGATCTCAAACGTATCGGGTCGATTCTCACACAATCTGGGCTGATCACGCCGCAAAACTTGGGTACTTTGCATGAGATCTCAGCTTCAGTTTCTGGCCTCATAGTTCGGGGAGCAATATCTCTTCAACCCAGTCCAACTCGGAAGGTTCAGTTCATCTCGTTGGGGAAAGAACCCGTGCTATCGCGCAATAGCTCGAATGTTCTTTATAACGAAGTGAACCGGCTGTTTGCTTTGTCGGATTTCAGTAATGTTGGAGTCATGCCTGGCGGAAGCTATGTTCCACATCCTGCATCTTCGGTGAATCAGCTTGATATCCCAAGCAACGCAAGCACTCGAAGCTGGGTAAATTCCGTCAACAAGTGGCCAGTTTTCTACATCCGTATTGACACAAATGCTGTTATACGATTGGATGATGATGGGTCTGAGCATCTTCCAGAATCGGCCAAATCTGTTCAACGGATTGTTGATGTGCTTGGAGCGATGGTTCATGAGTTTTTGAAACAACACAATCTCCGCCCTCGTACCGCCAAACAGCAGACCATGTCATCGGACCAAAACAAGAGCATCCGTTCCACAGCCTCCCGAGCAGTTGGCAGCTCTCGTGGCCCCCGACAACAAGGTCGGTCGATTTCGAGCACTGAAGAGGCATTTAGTGGTCATCTGAAAATTCCCTCATTCCCAAGATCCCAGTCTCTGAACTCAGGTCAAAGCTTTGCCAATTGGTCTAGGGTAAAAACGGCTAAGGATCTCAACGGACATTCTCCAACCCATCGAAACCCTCGGTGTCCTCATGTGGCTCCTGATATAATCCGGGAGGAGAGTCCCTTGCCTATCCTCCCTAAGCATAGGCCAAACCGTCAAAATGGTGGCCAGAGGTGCATAGTCCTTCCAGAGCCCGTGGATAAAGGGGTCTCTGATGAGGGCAGAAGCAAGAGAGAGGATTTGCCTGGAGACTCTCCATCAGACAGGACTATCACCTGGGTCGATCCACACACCAAGTTCGCCTACATCATTAACCCCCAAACGGGCCAAACGATGAACTCTCGGAAGTCATTAGCTACCCAGCGTTCCCCCACCGATCATGTCGATACCTCGTCCAAGCATCCAGCCCAAACCGCTTGGATAGAAAATATATTAGGAGCATGGGACAATCCTTCCTTCAGCCGAACAGAAATCCCAATACCCAATCTAGGTACAGAGTCCGCCGGTCAGCAGAGTACAATTTCTCCTTCGCACGACTGCTTCAAGGGGATTGGATCGCTTGACACGGCGCAGGTTGCCAAATATCGAGGAAAACTTCAACGTCGTGCGCTCGACACTGCCGAAGTGATGGCCCAAGTGGACAGAAAGTTCATATTGGCTAAGGTCCATACCACTCCTATCAATCTCCACTGGAAAGGACCATCAGACTATGTTTTGCTCTTAATTGATCAACACGCAGCCGATGAGCGATGTCGAATTGAACTGCTGTTTAGGGAGATGTTCCTTTCTACTGGGCTAGATGAGAATTTGGAGTCGGGAAATCGAGTGCGCACTGTCCAAGTTGGTTCTTTGGCATTCGAAGTTTCATCGACAGAGGGTGATCTCTTCCAAAAATATAGAGGTCTCTTCTCGGCGTGGGGTATTGAGTATGTGACACATGGCAGGACCAAATCTACTGTTTTGATCACCGTGCATACTCTTCCTGTTCTAATAGCAGAACGTTGTCGGCTCGAGCCTCGTGTGTTGATTGACTTGATGAGACGTGAGATCTGGTCAAGTGAGGAAGATGGCAGGAAGCCGTTCCAATCGAAGAAAGCATTTGAAACTAAAGATGCCGACCAGGACCTCGACTTATCAGACAGCGATGAGGCGGCACACAAAGGAACCTCGACATCATCTACCGCACGCTCATGGGTTCAGAGGATGAATGGATGCCCTCAAGGCATCGTGGATCTTCTTAACTCCCGTGCCTGTCGCACTGCTATCATGTTCAATGACCCTTTGGATCTTGAAGAGTGTCAGGCGTTGGTCTCTAGACTGGCACGTTGTGCCTTCCCGTTTCAATGTGCCCACGGGCGCCCTTCAATGGTCCCTATACTTGATTTGCGATCCTTCTCTAATACTGATGTTTTATTTCCGCTAGATTTGGGTACCAGAGCATCTGTTTATGATAACGACGGTATGAGTTTGGATTTCGTGGAGGCGTTCAAAACACGTTATGTAACATAGTTGGTTTAACTAGCTCCCAAGTTCTCATATAGGAAGTTTGGGTGTATGCTAATGGAAAGGCGTTGGATTGGAAGTGTGTACACTAGGTGATACATCACTCAGGAGTTACCATATATTCAGACTTGCACCCGAAACACTTGTCTTTGGCAGTCATTCTGTGAATTTTCCGCTTCTTTTTTGGGGCTTCCTAGACTACAGGCAAACAAGACGGCGACACTAGCATGGTTTTTGTGGCTTATAGCTGCCTAACATCCTTACAATACAGGCCCAGAGTCTTGAATCAACTGAGATAAAATCCCTGTCCCGTGTCATCCACTCTGGCCTCTTAAGATGAGTGCTGAAAACCAGTAGAATGTTTCACTATCATGACACGTCACATTCTCTCCTCAAATTGACGAACAGAATACACCATAGGTTTTCAATACATCATAAAACAAACGAATATTGAAATAAACAACTTCCCCCGAGTATTTAGGTCAAGCTTAGATGTGACCTGGTAGCATTTAACGAGGCGCAGCTGGACACTTCGCACAGTACGGGGTAGAATTTCATATTCTTGCATGAATCCGCAACAACCAGATAGATCGTGCAGGATGTCGACACATTTCAATTTGTCTTAGGCTTGCATGGGTTTGGCGCTTGTGGAGTACTCCGCACAGGCAGTCGCATTACTCAAATACCTCAATACAATAGTAGCGGTCTGTGGGCTCAAATGTACAGCTTGGAGGCTCTCTTGTATTCAAAAGTGAGGTCCTTTGGACATATCCCTTGCATGGATGCGTATTGTGGATTGTAAAGAAAATCCTCCGCAGACATGGCGGGAGGGTTCATGCAAGGATCGGGAACGGATCGGGAACTAATAAAGATAGTAATAGAATAGAATTACACTCTGACATTTTGGAATAGTCTTGGATAGTAATGTGTATGGTATAATACGAATGAATGTCTTCGAATTACATATAAAGCATAATACAAAGCTATATCCTATAAAACCCACATATGTTTCGGAGAACGTCGGACGTTCATTAAGTAGAGTACTTCTCAAGGCTCTTATAGGGCGTACTTATTCTAGTACTTTATTTCCTTTACGAAGTACTTGTTTTACTTATGGTGTTTGGCCACGGGTCAACCGCGAAGAAGATCTATAACCTCGACTTGAAAAGCTGTGGTATTGTTGTCCTTTTTCTTATGGTACTATACTTTATAGCGATATTGAGGGTACTTACCTTTTTACCAACATGAATATATAAAAGGCGAAGGGGCCAACACTCATTTACATCGACGTAGAATAGGTACTGTTTTATATATTGCTTAATAAAAACACCAACCACACAACGAACTTCTTTCATTGATTCCTAATATAAGCAAGATCTACGGAAATTATTGTTTCGTTTGCTGTCTAGATGTATTTGATCTGCTTTTCCCCAGGGCTCATCATTTTGGCATTGAAAAGCAAATAGACCCCGTGGCACAACCTCAGCTCATGCTTTCTGTGAAACAAAGCCAATACTCCAGCAATACAATGAATCGGTAAGGATCAAACTGCGGTGGGGAAGTTATGACTACTTTGAATAAACAGCCATCCATGCTTTCTGCCATTTTAGTGGTACCCCAAGGTAATGGCCATTGGTTGTTATTCTTGTGCGTCTAGCTATGTATATAGGTCCACAAGTGCATATGTATGACACACCACGATAAAACAGGATCCATGATGGAGCTGAAGGTGGCAAAAAATTCAGCCCTAAAACAACAAGTTCAAGGGTTGGTGGCCGTTTCGTCATCCTAGTGGCATTAGTTATGTGCAGTATGTATTTATTCCACCGAACGTTATATGGATAGAAAAATGAAAATTCCGGCGCGTTCTGTTCCTATATTACATTTGTTTTGGACCAGATATATTCAACTAGATCATTTCACCATACAATGCTCCTCCTAATCGGGCTTTGAGTAAACCTCCAGATTAACACCAACCTGTAAACTCTATTCTTTTGTGCACATCATTCCTGAAACACAAAGCTTTCGTGTTCCCAGCACCAGCATTGCTGTATCTCTCCACTAGTGTCTCTCCAATGGAAGGGCCACTCTATAACCCCCAGCCCTAGGCTCGGGGTGTACATAACTCAACCGAATTTAGAATCATCTTAATATACACGAAAACAGGTTATATCGAGCATAAAAAGGGTCTATACAAAATTAATTCAGAACAAACAGTAGAAAACCACCCTGGCTTGTGGGCTTCTATCCAAAAAAATAATTGGGGGAGGGGTATGCTTGAGTCATATTTTGATATGCAGACATCGGTATTCAGGCAGAAATGTTAGGACAGAATCCGGGGTAAGGCATCAAAGTTTCTGAATCCAGGGACCCTGTTTCACTTAGAGTTCAGTTCATTCACAAAGTTGTATAGTGTTTGGAGCCGAGAAGCAGAATGAATCCCAATAGCATTGGCTAAGCAAAGGAGTACAACCAAGAGAATGGCCACATGTTGACATGATACGAGGTAAAGACAGATTTGCTGTTACGATTGATGGAGAAATGGTTGGAATTGAAGCGTATTGTGCATTTGTGGCAGCTTCTAAGAGTTGCTCCTGTACAGAAGCCGTGAGGCAAAAATATTGTCTAGAGGGTATCCAATGTAGGAAACGCCCAGTTGACAGATAACAGTCCTTTTTCCAGTCAACATGTCCTTTTTCCCCCTTTCCCAACCGAAATAAGAACATAATAGACAAGGAAGAGATTAAACAAATCAGGTAAACAAAGCAAGGCCCTTGGTAAACTCCATTTGGGTAGTCCCGGGCCCCGTTCCATAGCCGCTTTTGAAATGCCACTTTCTCATAAGAGAAGTCGAAAAAAAAAAGCATAAAAGTACCGCCCAATAATAAAAAGAAGTAAATAGATAAAACAAGAATGATGGGATATTCACAAATCGCAAGAAAGGAGTAAGGATGTTGATGAGAACACCAGTAAATAGGGAATGAGAAGAGGTCGTAAGTCATTAGGTTGTGAAGGATGGGATAGGGGATAGTGTGGGTGGAAGGAAGTTATGTCGTGACGGACTTTACTTTGGACTGGTTGGTCCATGAGAGGAAATCAAACTTGTCCTTGGCATTATCGAGCATGGAGGGATTGGACTCGGACTGGGACTGAAGAGTGGTTGCGCTGCGGGAGGCTTCTCTGGGCTCAAGAACCAGAGAGCGGCGGTAGAAGGTTTGTGTGGTTGTTTCGCCGAGTGAGCGCACTCGTACAAACTCATTCTGCATCCAGGCCTGTAGCTCCGGAACTTCGGACAGACGGTAGGGAATCTGGAACCGTTGAAGTTCGCTGATAATACGAGCTGTCTTCATATGCTTGTCGAAGTTGATGACAGCCATTTCACTGTCGTCGGTGGAGAGGGTGCGGAGAGATTGGTTGCCGTGGTCGACAAAGGTGAGGTCGGTTAGGTAGGTACCGACGAATGGTAGGCAAGGTGGCACGTGATTCTGAAGACGCTGACGGAGTACTGCGTAGTTGCGAGACACATCCACGATGCTGCGGAGCTGCTCGAGGGCATTCTTGGTCTTCTGCGATACGATGTCCCAAGTCCTCTTCAATCGAGAGATCATAGACAAGTTCAATGAGCAGATGATGGCCATAAGCGAGTCGTAGTTATTCAACTCAAGACATTTGTTCGCAATCTTGACCCAGTGCTTGATGGTAGCGGCACGCTTCTTGGGTTCCTCGAGGCACAAGATGGAGTCAGCAACGAGATGTGCAAGATCAGTGGACAGAGTCGACATGGCTCGAACATTTACAGCCAATGAGCCTGATCTTTTGGTCCATTCCGTGTCCAGGAGTTCCTCGGGAAGGATGGAGCAGAAAATGCGCGACTCCTTGATGGTCAGCTGACGGGCGAGCTCAAGTGGATCGAAGTCAAGGATGGTTATTGAGGCTTCGCCGTTCTTCCACTGTTTGAGCAAGTTGTGCTCCTTCTTGCCAAGGACGGGAGGAGGCAGGGGGGTATCGGGGTGAATGTATTGAGCAATGGAGGTATTGGTCTTGCCCATTGAAGAAATTAAGCGAGGCACGAGAGGGCCACCAACTGCGGACACCTTGCCGGCCAAATCAAGCAGCCGCTTACCAGCAGTGGGGAGATCGACCACAAGTCGTGTGTTTGCGAAATTGACGATGAAATCCAGGGCCGTGTTGTCACGATCGTGACGCCAGTGAGACTCGAGCCAACCTTTGAAGATATTGTATACACGAAGACGAACGGGTCCGGAAGCGTGAGGTGTGTCACCAATATACTCAAATCGTTCAGCGAGAGCCTCGGCAAACTCAAGAGGGGTGGCAAAGAGACGGAAGGTAAGGTAGAATGTTGAGACAAACATAGCATCAGGGGTGGATTGGTGAGCAGTCAGCTTCTCGATTAGAGCACGGAGACTACCGCCCATCACCGAACCTTCCTTGTAAACGAGTTCGTGTGCGTAGGTCCTTTCCAGAATGTTGGCCTCGGTCTCCTCATTCTCCTCAGCGAGGGTCGAGTAGCTTAGACTTTCCTTTAGCGAGTGAACCGTGAAGCTACCCTGGAAGCTACCCCCAATATCAGGCGAGGTAGCCCGAGTTGAGGTTTGCGAGAGACCACTCATCTCGGAGTCACGTGCGTAGCTGTTATATGTGAAGCTGCTACCGTTGCTTGTGATTCCACGACCAAACGATTCGCTCACGTCAGACTTAGGATGACTTTCACGGTAGCTAGTGTCGACGGAGTCAAAGGAAGAGATGTTCTCTAGGTGGGTGGGGAGGATGGCAGAATTGGGTAGAGAGGAAAGGGCGCTAATGTTGGCGGGGGAACTTGTGATATGAGACTGGAAAGACGAAGGTGTTGTAGCATCTGTGAGAGCAGGTGTGGGGGGAGAGTATGTGGTGCTAGGAATATGGAGAGGAGGTGGGGGAAGGCGAGGCGACAGCTCTTGTCGTTCCTGTTCTACCGGAGTCTCAGACTCTTCTTGTGGAGAGTCAAT